CAAACACTGGTAGCGTGGCCAGGCAGAGGGCTCCAGAGAATTCAGATAACTTGTGTTCAGATGGTTACAATACAGCTAAAGGTTCTGATTCTCCTCTGCATTAGGGCTTGCATGGGCCACGCCACCAGCACAAATCAGCCCTAGAGTGGGCATGGCCAGCTGTCGGAAGAACATCCCTCACTGGGATCCCCAGACGGCATAGAGCTACTGTAGCAGCTTCTGTGATACCCCTCTGCCTACTGCGGGTGCAGAGGTCATGGCTGGTGGAAAGGGGTGGGGCCAGCAAGTCATTGCATATCAGTCTCAGGTGCTGTAATGGCCATTAGGGACAGCTTCTGGCAAATGGCATAAACTGAAGAAGTCCTTAGGCTGCTCTAACTTAAATCAAGGCAAACTGGTTTGGAGCCCAGCAGGCTCAAGATTGGAGTCCACAAAGGGGACATAAAGCCACCTGTGCAGCTCCTCTCCCTGAATGCCAGTGTTTGCTCTTCTGCCACTTTACAGAATCTGGGTTGAAAATATTGTGAGAATTTCCGTACGCGCTGTATGTTGGCATCCTTTGGTTTGCATTGGAGAGGCGTTTACTAGCGCTGCCAACCTGCTGATATTGAATTTAGCATCACATAAATTAGGCCTTACGGGAGATTTGAATGAACATTGGTGAAATGGCAGATCAGTCCATTTCACAGATAAAGACACAATCTTTCTTTGTAGACCCGATTCAATTAATTTTATTCCTTGCTTTATGCATTTAATTTCAAAACAGGTACTGTAGAACATGAGAGAGAGAGAGACATTGGCAATAGTGGATTGAGCCTCTATTCAGCACTCCCACAAAGACAGAGAACACGGAATCCTGGGCCATATTTTAGATCACAACGTTCTATAGTGTATCTGTAATACACTAAAATTACTTTAAATTGCTCAATTATTTAACACAGAAGGGAGGGCATTCTGGGAAGGAGCTGATGGACCTGTGCATTTGTATAAGCCAGTTGCTCTGCCTCAGAGAAACACATCATTAATTCATGGTGTGGGCAATCTTTTAATACGATCTTTGAAATGAATGAAAAATATTCACCCTTCTCTTAAAATACAGCTCTGCTCTGCAAGATGCATGAAAAGCAGTGACAAAAGATGGGCTCCCCCGTTGTTCTCTCTTAGTGGTTTCCCCTTTGGATGTGCTTAGCTTTTGCTAAGTTATCGCTTGGCAATCTGCCCTGAGTAAGGAGCAGCACATAGCTGTACTGTATTTTAGGGGGGAACTGGCCTATATCAGTAGCAGATTACATCCATCTCTGCCAAGCTCAGCTGGTCTGAGTGGCGCTTTGCGGATGGGAACAGAACCAAGGCTCTGCACATGCCCACACCCAGCTCAACGGCTTGTTGTTCGGCATGGACAACTTTCCCCTCCTCCCACATCACTGGGTTCCACTGGTAACTTACCCAATGCTGGGGACTAAAACCCTCTTGCTTCCCTGTGCAGGTACCTTGCCCTTTGTAAGTATTAAGTCATCTGATCGGCAGCATTGGAAACTAAGGGCACAGTGTCCCCTCCCAGAAAGGGGAAACTGAGTAATTCTCTGCAGGGAGTTTTCATGTATTACCCTTCCTGGGGCGTGCAGACAATAACCCCAAGCAGAGGGCAGAGGATATGGCCCTCTGACCGTATGGATGCCCTTGAACCAATGGGAGGGATATAGCTCTCTGAGCCAGTGAGCAGAAAGCTAATCCCTCCAAACTACCTAAGGTCCCCCTTCTGCCGGGAAGCAGCACTTATTCTTAGTTGGCTCAAACCCTAATATGTATTTGAATGGGACATATGATGATGGGCTATCAGATATTAAACCTTCTTTGTAATGTCAGTGCCATATTTTTAATATTACACTCAAAAAAACAGTGCTAAAAGAACATTATTGAAGTTACAACGTCAAGAACTCAAAAGTTTAGGAGATGCCAGAATTAAGGTTGTCTGTTGAAGGCTGGTGTGTGATTGTCCCACGCCCATCCCCTCACTGTCAGGCTCTTGGAGAGACAGGTTCACTGGTCTCAATTTTGTTGCCTGTCCACAGCACCAACCCAGAACTGGGAAAGTCTTGCCTGCAGGAGCATGTTCAGTGTGGACAGAATCTTCAGAATTTTTGGCTGCAAAACTCTGCTGAGCATGTGCAAAGCATGTGATTTTTTTTCAATAGCTATACCTTGACCGAATTTGGGTGAATTTTCACACAGATGGCAAAAGGCTCATCCCTAACACAAAGGACTCCTCCAAAGAAGGGCGTGCTAGAGTTTGTTTTGTTTTGTTTTAAAGAAAAGGTTGTCAGGACTCTCTATCATGGGCAAAGCAGTATATTTTTCCCTAGCCTTATTCTTGGAAATGAATGACTCGGTTTGGCTGACACTTTCAAAAATATTCACTCGGAGGCAGACACCCAGCACAAACAATTTTAGCCCAAATGGTTAAAATTTGGCAATGTTATAAGCAACTGAAAACCAGGTCATACAGTGTGGGCAACCAAATAGGAGGTGCTCCCAGCTCTGCCTATAATAAATATGACCCGTAGCATTTTCTTTAACTTGTTTGGAAGCAAAAATTACCTGTGAACGCTTTGGAAAAATCTTTTAGGAAAAAAGACAGTTTTAATGGCTTTATACAATATCACAGCCTAACCCTAATTATAAAATTGCAGTCGCATGAGCATGAGCTGTGCTGTGTTGGACACAGGTGCAGACCCACAGACACTGCTGATGAAAATCTCTGATCAAGAGCGCACATCCTCAAGTGAAGCACCCTCAGGGACACTACTCAAAGCCACAGCAGGGATCAACTGCAGGCGCAAAGGAGAGTTTGGACGTTAATAAAATATTACACAATGTTCTTCCTTCTTACTTGGCTTCCATAGCATAGTCCTAGTACAGATACATGCAATTATTATTCCATATATTTCGACCCACCAATCAACATAGTCACCTTGCTGCTCAGGTGCAGTCAAGGAGTGCACAGCTAAGGAGGGGCTGGTTGTGTGCTGGGTTAGTCCCCCAGCATAAGTGAAGGCAGCTTGCAGGTAGTTATAAATTATACTGCCATGGCCCTGAGGGGCTAACCACCAGGGGACCACCAAAGTGCAGGCAAACCCTGGCCACATCACCTTTTTCTCATTCATGCTCACTACATCTTCTGCAGGGAAGGTGGAGGTGCAGGAGCCAGCCGCAACATTGTCTGTGCCACCAGAGACTCCTCCTGCACAGCAGTGTTAGAACCAATTTACCACCAGCAGAACAATGCCAGAAAGCCCTAATTCAGCCCAAGATTAGGACGAGTGAAGCATACGCGGACCATCAAAAGTGTGACTTTTTGCTACTCACTTGACCCCAAAACCTCCACTTGTAACAGCGTGACCAGACTGGCTGAAGAATCAAGCATTACGCTGCACCTGAAGTGCCTTAGCAGACCTGGTGGAAGCATTTCTTTATTTCCAGACATGGACAGGTCTCAGAGTGCCCTCTGGTGGCAATACGAAGGCAACGGAAAGCACTCTGGCTGCTCTGGTACATCACTGTCTTGAATGGAAACAAACAAGGAGGCAGAGTCTGAAAAATAAATTATTACACCTGTTCGTTTTGAGCTCAAAAGATGGTAGGAACCTCGAGCCTAAAATAAATTCCACTGTGTGTAAATTTTGTAAAACCGGAGACAAATTCCATGAGGAGTATTAAAACGTTAATGTTATTGACCCCAAAACCAGCCATGTGGTGTTAGATAGCTAGGTTAGGGGTGCTGAGAACCCAACTTTTTTGTAAACCTTTGGGATTATTTAAGTGCGTGTCTTAAGATCGGTACCTTAAATAGATATCTTTTCTGAGGATGCTGCAGGAGATTTGTCTTTCTTAAAACCGGCTCCTTTAGGGCCCCAATGGGTAGTTAGTATCTCTCAAAGTGTCATCCAACATGACAGCACAATTTGACTGGTTTGGAACTGAGGTGGGAACTGCACTATTCCCAATGAGGCTAATGTTCCTCTCATGCCGTAGCACATATTATTGATTTTACAAATCCCTTCCTTGAGTGTTATAGTGTAATAATTTTACTTTAATAATTTCTACAGTAAGTTCATTTCTTTTGCCTGTCCTGCTTCCTGTGAAGATTACTGAAGCATCATCCCTTGCTTTTTTTTCTTAGGTCTCTGCAGCAGTAGTCTTTGCTCCATCACAGACAGAGGCTACTAACAGAACTCAAAAAATCACACGAATCCACCTGGTCAAGTGGAGAAGGTATCATGGGATGCCAGAAGATCCAGACTTCATCCTCTTCAATATCTGGAGAAAACACACAAGGCAACGAAAGAAGAGCTTATCTGGTATACCGTCTTACTACTCATAGTTAATACTTTATTTTGATGGACGCATAAATGCCAAAAAAACCTTTTACAGACAAGTACAATAAAATGTCCCTTCCCAAAGAGCTTAATGCTTTGATCCCACAAGAAAAGGGGTACAGGCTGGTCCCTCTGTTTGCACAAAGCCCCATGGACTTAAATGGGGCTCTGCATAAACACCTATCTGTGCACATATTGCAGGATGGGGCGTAGGTGTAACATGGTGAAGGACAGTCAACACTGTAGGGTAGGGAAAAGACAGCTTATCAATGATTAGATCATGTGGTTGCTTTGCTTAGAGACTGTAAATTTGAAGAGAGAGATGTGGGAGTAGGTATTAATGAAACAGTTAGTAAAAGAGAAAGAGTAGGGTTTACAGGCCACAATGAATTAGTGTTTTAAGGAGAGGGTAACATTGGACAAAATGAACTGGAACCATAAACTCACTGAACATTAAATCTCACCAAATGAGGGTAAATCCATCCTCATCATCATATACACTCATTATACTCCACACCTGAACATAGCCATTACATGAACAACATACCCTCATATCTCAATGTCTGTACTTTGACCCGTTAACCTTTTACCCCCATGGGGGAGACTGCAGATTATGTATTCCTTACGCCATCCGATCCTAAATCGAACTTTGCACCCCTTGATAATCTGTACCTTATTCCCTGATAACCAGAAACTTCTACTCTTAAACTCTGTACCATTTCTTTTATTTTAACACCTTAATAAAATTATTAAATCTGATACAACTTTTTTATCCCAACAGGAAAATAAGCCAGTTTCGGCATTTGGATTTTTAGATAATCTCTTGAAATGTAGGGATTCACAGGACCATCAACATTAAAATCCAGAAAAAGAAAACAATTTTCACCAATTACACCCTAAAAACTTACATACAATGCTTGCAAATTGAACATTTTTATCTCTTTTTGACCCAAGTGGTTAGCCAATATTTGGATTCTTGCAGGTTGTTTTCAATAAGGGGAGAAATTGATGAGAGCCAGGTATTTTTTTGATGGAACCCTATTTATTTACAAAAAGTGTACACAAAGTCCTGTTTCCCTGAACACAGGCAGAATCAAACAACTGAAGACAGTTTCTTTGCTCATTGTTCCAAGCCTCTTTCCAGCCAGCACTTTACCCAAAGCTCTCAGCTTTTTCTCAGGATCATGCTAAAAGTGCTTTTTTGCTGTCTCTGGGCTTCCTTCTCTCAATCTCTCTCTCTCTCTCACACACACACACACCCCACCAAACAATATGCAGCCGCTTGCATTTGCAATCAGTTCCCAGTGAAACCCTTCTGCCTACATAGCTCAGATTCCTGACGGACCTTGCCAGAAGCCTGCATTTTGGGCAGAGGCGCCTATTGTTTCTGATATCTATTCTATTAAGGAGCTTAATTGCTTTTTACATTTATTCTGAATGAAGGGCAGCTGTTCCACCCACCAGCTTCAATAAATTTTCAATCAACGCCCTGCATAACAATACATTATTTTCTCATTCAGCACCATTTTCTGCTATTGCTTGTGAAACTTCAGCAGCCTTGTTAACACCTTGCTAAATCCACGCATGAGTACCACTCTGGAAGCCATGCTTTTCCTCCCACTGCTTAAGGAAATTGCTTTTCATTTATGTCTGCCATGTACATATCATACGCCCTTACAATGTATCAGAGGGGTAGCTGTGTTAGTCTGTATCCTCAAAAACAACAAGGAGTCTGGTGGCACCTTAAAGACTAACAGATTTATTTGGGCATAAGCTTTCGTGGGTAAAAAACCCACTTCTTCAGATGCCCTTACAAAGCTTGTCGCCTTCCATGTGCTGAGAAAGTGGGCATGAACAGGCTGTAGGAGAAACAGGGTCCAGCAGAAAAAAAATTAAAAATCTTTCAAGGGACAAGAGGGTTATCCCACAAGGAAGAGCACTGAAATTCCCAGAGTTTTCTGTGAAGATAAAAGAGTTCCAGGCCCTTGTTTCTCTAAGGGGGAGGGATAGCTCAGTGGTTTGAGCATTGGCCTGCTAAACCCAGGGTTGTGAGTTCAATCCTTGATGGGGCCATTTAGGGATCTGGGGATTGGTCTTGCTTTCAGCAGGGGGTTGGACTAGATGACCTGCTGAGGTCCCTTCCAACCTTGATATTCTATGATTCTATGATACATGAGCTAAAGGAAACAATTAATTCCATGACATATGAGAAGAGTTCTGGTCCAGGTTTTACAGACAGGTGTTTCTGGACAATGTTTTTGTTACTGTACAAAATGAATTCAAAGAGAAATGCTTTCTCTGGGAGACTGAGCTCTCTGATTATAAGTAGAGAAGATTTTAACAGAAATTTGAAAGCTTAGCCCTAATGATCCCTCCTAAATCAGAATTGTACCACTCTAAGGAAGATTGTCGTGAAATGTCAAAATAATTTCTAGACCATTCACCCATCCTGACCCATTAAGATTCCTAAAAGCTAAGCAGGCTGATGTGAGAAGATTTCTTAGTAGCTTAGCATGAAGCTTGCTTGACTGAGAATCCTGTAGAGGCCTTGTATGCTGAGCGCGCCTTTGACACTGAGGATTGCAAGGGGGACCTTTGCTATCTTTCAGAAGGATTTGAAGTGAACTTTAGAGAATATTCTAATTTGCATTGTACTTGTGCCAAGAGGCCACAACTAGGTTGGAGCACCATGGTGCTAGGTGCTGTTTTGACCTCTAACAAAAGGCAGTCCCAGCCTCAAAGAGAGTTTATAACCTAGTTTAAGACAAAAACATAACAGGTAGGAGGAATAAAAACAGTATAGGGGCTATAGTATAGTATACTCCTAGCTATGGACCCCCCTCAAAAACTAAAAATAACTTCCCATTTACACCCTTCAAATGTCTCACTTCTATCCCTCCTCAACACAGTCATCTCTGAGCTGAAGTTGTACGAACTTAACACAGTCGTTCGCATAGGTTGGTCCCTCCAGAACACTCTTCACTGAACTCCTTCCAATTAATCACTCTCTTTGATAATGAGATTCCTAGAACGGAACACAATTTCTGGCAGAGTCGCAATGGAGCTGCAGAGAGGAAATCTATTACGCTCTATTCATTGATAGCATGTCTCTATGTATGCAGCCTGTAATTTCACCCATCTTTTCTTTGCAACTGCCACATCACATTGCAAACTCATGTCTAATTTGATATGATGCAAATCCTCCCAACTCTCTCTTGGCATTACTTTTCTCCAGGTTTCTTCCTCCCCAAAGAATATCTGGCATTTAGATTGTTTCTTTCCAGATATTTCAGACTGCATTTGTCCAAGTTGAATCACACTCTGATTCTCTGTCCATCTGTCTAATCTAATCTAATGGATCCTTTTGTTTTATTACTCTGCCCTCACTGGTATTTGTACCATCTTTCAATTTAATATTACTTGCAAAATTCATTAATGTGGTGTTTATTTCCTCTTACAAATCAATAATGAAGATACTAAATACGACTAGACCTGACCCAGGTCCCTGCTGGACTCCCCTGGCCTCACACACCATCTCTATACTTGGATGTTTAAACATTACCATTTTTATATAGCCCATAATCAGGGAGAGTTCATGACCTGCTCTGAACAGAATATACACACACTGTATAAAGTCCAAATGTATTATCTTTCTGGGGCTTGGGCTTTACTGGACAAAATGTTGAAATTAAAAAACAAACAAACCAAAAAAACCCCCAACAACCAAAACTTCATCCAGTTCTCTACAGTTGGTTGAAAAATACTGGGAAAAATAATTCCCGTTCCCTTTTTTGGTTCTTTTTAAACCAGTTTTATATTTAGCATAGTTTAGTCACCACAAATATTAAAAGCCACATGAGCTTACATTCCTTTTGCTCACTCAAGAAGCAATATGGCATTTTGAGGTGGAAGTATTTATCACCTTAAAAACCCAAGGATAAAACTGAGTAATACACAACAATACCACATTTATTTTATTTTATTGATATTCATTAGTGAAGAAAATTTAAATTTTATCTTTCTGATGTGTTACACCTGCTTTCTGGTGATTGGACAGCTCCTATTGTTTACTTAAAGGCTAAATAATAATATACTTTCCAAATTGCATGATTAGCTTTTACATTTTTAATTCTCATATGGTATTGCTCTCTCTCTCTCTGGGTACATAAAATGGCCCATAAAAATCAATGATTTTTCAGATCTAATTGTTATTCTATCTAGTTTTAAAGATACATTCAAATAAAAAGATTTAAAGTTACTTGCAATAAGTGCACATATACAACAGCAAATGGAGCTGATGACATTTTACTAAAACTTTTTTTAAAGTTCACAGAATAAATAGAAGTCTTCAAACACATGCAGTATTTGGCTCATGTGTTTTCTCTCAAAATATCACTGCACTATTGTAATATCTACTTCATTCAAAGGCATCCTTCTCTTGTAACAAAGACTAAAAGACAGTTCCATTCATACAAGAAATTATCAGTGCTAATGATTTAGTAACAGTCTGGTACACATAGCAATTTGCGGCAATTACATGTAGTGCAGTAGTAGTGGCAATAAATAAACGGGCTGCTTGGTTTTAAACTTCACAGAGACTACAAGGAAAAAAGAAGGTCCTGATTTTTTAAATCAAAGCTCAAAAACAATCTTTTCTTGGCCACGGGAATAAGATCTTTTTTGTCCATTTCTATTTTAAGAGCTAACAAATATTCCTGCAAGCACCTAGCATAAAATTGGGCGGGACAGGAAAGAAAATTCTAACAAATACTGGACTTTCCTGATTGAAAGCATATGGGCTTATTATAGCGGGGGGATAAAAATGTTTTCAAATGGCTGTTACTTCTGGCAAGTTTACAACACCTGGATGGAAACAGGTTTCTATGAAAAATGATGAAAGCTAAGTAGAAAATATTCTCACCCTGTTATAAAACCACTTAGTGGATTGATTTCTTTAGATATATAAAACCTGTAGCGAAAAGGTAAATATAAGGTCAAAAGCTGCTTTCCCTTGCTTGTACCATATTCTGTTACTAAATACTTTTGTGGTTCTTCCCTGCATGATATTTCAAGCACACACCTGTTTCAAAGACTGCTTTTGCTAAACAATCTTTTCAAACAAGACTGTTTTCCGATCTATTCAGTGACTCTGGCTCCCAGGAAGTGGTTGCCATGTTATCTTGTGAAGTGTGAAAACTAATCTCTTTAAGGATAGTTTGTAAGGTGTGATTTTCAGTATCAGCAAGAGAACACAATGTAAAGCATTTTTCCTTCCACAGTCCAGTGCAATATTGAAAATAATAAAGTGAATCACACAGAATACAGATGTGCCAGAAGAAACAGCAGTAGTGGAAATGTGTCATTTTTCCAGGCACGTAGCAGGCCCGTTGACCTCAAAACACAGTACTAGTTCAAGTTTATCATACCAGGAAAAAAAAACAAAACAAAAAAATGTCTCATCTATTCAAGCATAACAGCCACACGCTCGGATAACCCACTTCATCCACAATGGCAAAATGAAATTAACACAGATGCTAAGCTGACTACTCTGTTTAGCACTTACCAAAGCACAAATGCTCCCTGCTGCTGTTATTCCAATGTCTCAGGTAACATGGTCAATAATCTTGCTATGCTAGGTCAAGTTAGGCTAGCTACAGAATTCATTTTCTTCTATCCATGGATTGTTGGGTTCCTCCCCCCACCTTCAGTGCATCTTTAAAAAAAACAACCACCTTTCAGAAGGTTAGCAAGTTAAACCCTAATACAGCAACTGCAGTGTCAGAACATTTTGCACTCAACTGAACAGTAAAATAAACAAATTCGTTACAATATATCTGGTACATATTTACAAATTGTACAAAGTTTACACACTTCTCCCATTAGGCACAAAGTTGATTTGTCAAACTCAGGAGGCAATGGAAGAAAAAAAAAATTGCAGGCAGGTTCTTGGTATCTCTTTAAAAGACTAGCCATAAAAATTAAGTCCTTCATCGTAAGCTAGTTTGCTTAGGGAGCTTGGCTCCCATTAGGATGCCAGAAGTGAGAGTTGCAGGGCCCTTCATCTGCATGCTGGAACCCACCATGGTTGGGAAGCTCCGATTCCTTCGAATGCCAGTGTTCAGCTGAATACCGCCAATGGCACTTGTTGCAGAAGGGCAGCCCAACTGAAGGCCTTCTGGGGCCAAGCCTCGGGGAACAAAGGCCCTTACTGGTCCTTGAGCCCCACAGAGAAGAGGTCCCTCGTCATCAGTTAAGGGAGGCGCTTGCGTTTGCCCCGAGCTAACTACTTTGGCAATTCCAAACCGCTTTACTTTGTCCACAAGGTTAAGGTTGGAGACAGACACATCGGTCTGACTCTCACTGTTCCTGATGTTCTTTTTCTCTCTCACCTCCTTCAAAATGGAACTAGCAGGTTTGGAAGCGAGGAAGTTGTCATATGGAGGGCTGGTGCACTTGAACTCAAAAGCGGGTGGGGAAGAAGAGGGAGTCTGCATAGGTGAGTTCGGAGGAGTGGAAGGAATGATCGCCATTTTAGGAGAGTACGGGTTCAGGATGGTGCCCCTGCTGGCCCTCTCCCAGCTTTGTGGATTGTACACTGCTGCTGAGATCCCTCGTTCTTTAAGCAGCCACACCAGGCCCAAGGATGTGCTCATCGTAGTTGTGGATTCCCGAAGGTTAGTGAAGGATTCTGCCAAGCTTAGACGCCGAGGGGTGCATGGGGTAGCGACCGGAGTGCCTTTCAAATTGCCAAGGCTGCCGCAAGCTGGAGTAGGTGCCGCATTAAGGCTGAAAACAAAGGAAGAAAAGGTGAATTAATGAGCCCGGGTAAATATTTTCAACAGGAACAAGTATACCATTTATAAGGGAGCCTGAAAAACTGACGCAAAAGATCCGCCGACTCTTGGGAACGCTGGATACAGGACATTGAGTTCTAAAGATCATCACTTTGAACATCTGGAGCTCAGCTTTAAACATCATTTTTGTCCAGCAAGGCTGGATGAATGATTTCCCAGCACCCCGCGTCAAACATCCTTTGACGTAACCACAAATAAATGGTCTTTAATAATTCAGCTGCTAGAGCGTTTCCTCTTCGGCTCGAATGGGATCAGGACTTGGCCCTAACTCCCAATGACTTCAATAGGGAAAGGTTTAAGTAAATTGGAGTTTGACCACTGACTTCAATGAGACCAGGATATGGCTCAGAGCGGCAACTCCCCACCCACCAAACTGCTAATGGTTCCAGTAATGCTGTATCTTGCTATTCCATGAGAGTAGCAGGTGGGTAGCAGAAACCATTATGATCAATTGGCTGCAGAAGTGGTTGTAACAGAGAAGCTGGGAGTTGGTATTTTCACCATCTGTCTGATTAAAACCAGCCCTTTTATTAAACTATTAAACTGAGGGAAAAAAAGGGGGGGGGGGAAGACTTGTGCCCTGATTTTCAGAGGTGCTGACCACTCACTACCAGAAAGACTCCCATTAGGTACTCCACACCTTTGAAAAAAGCAGGCCACTGATTATCAATAGTTTGTTAGTTGAGTAATGGATAACTCAGTAGCAAACCAAATACTATATGGGTGAGTTTTATTGTTATGTTTGGTGTCCACAAATTTCATGCTTATTTGCATAGTCTTGAACCAGGGAAAGCACTGAACATCCACTGCCCAACCCTCTCCCATCTAAAGAAACAAAACAATCCCAACAGCAGGTCAGAAGGTGCAGGTCAGGAACACCCAGCACAGTAAATATAAAACACCGGCAACAAAGGCTGTAAACACACATGCAGGCATATTTCTTGGATCTGACCAATAGCATTTTTGATTCTATTGGTTAAAAAAATGTATAACCGTTGGCACTAATTTTGAGGAGTTTCCCTCTCCCCAGTGGCTGGTCCTTCTCACATGAATGAGGATTCAGCTTAACTTGCATTTCTGCGCTTATTGGAGGATTGGCTCACCTCAGAGATTCACGGCAGCCCTCAGTTTGGCCACTTTTGCTCGTGGCTCAAACCTGCCGTTCACTCAGCTAACCTCATCACTGGCCAGCATGGAGAAAGGGAGGAGAACAATCCCCGCAGCATCTGCTGACCCACCTAGTGGGTCGGGGGATAGGCCAGGGACCTTCCTCTCTGGTGGGACCCACAGTCCAGGTCACCTCCTCTTGTCTCAGATAGGGAGTTGAGGGGGATGGGTGGAAATGGGGCCTGCCCTCTACTCCGGGTTCCAGCCCAGGGCCCTGTAGATTGCAACTGTCTACAGTGTCTCTTGTAACATCTGCGTGACAGCTACAACTCCCTGGGTTACTTCCCCATGGCCTCCTCCCAACACCTTCTTTATCCTCACCACAGCACCTTCCCCCGGCGTCTGGTAACGCTTGTACTTCACAGTCCTCCAGCAGTATGCCTTCTCACTCTCAGCTCCTAGTGCCTCTTGCTCCCAGCTCCACACACGCACCTCACTAACTGAAGTGAGGTCCTTTTTAAAACCAGGTGCCCTGATTAGCCTGCCTGTCCTAACTGATCCTGGTAGCTTCTTAATTGGCTCCAGGTATCCTAATTAGCCTGCCTTAATTGCTTCCAGCAACTTCCTGATTGTTCTGGAACAGCCCATTATCTTACTCAGGGAAAAGGAACCTGCTTAATCTGGGGCTAATATATCTACCTTCTATCATGCTCCTGTAGCCATCTGGTCTGACCCTGTCACTCAGGTGAATTCCAAAATGCTTTACAGACTTTAGAGAGTCATTTCCAACTATAGGGATATCCTCACAGTTTACTGAAATGCAACCTCTTTGGCCATGTCTCAATGAGCAAAAAAATGTTTTTTCAGTCCAGTTTAACTCCCCTTAATGGCTGCATAAACAGAGTTTAGTGCCTTTAAAAATGTTTGAAAGGGGTAAGCTGTGTCTACACGGACACTAAGGGGGAGGTTCATCTGAGCTAAGCCTAAGGCTTGCCTGCTCTTCTAAATGTACCAAAATAGCTATTCTGGAATGATTATTTTGGTACATATCCAACTGCAGACAAGCCCTAAATCAAAACATGCACCTTTTTCTCCCATGCAGACAATATCGTAGGGTTTGCTGAGACTGGTCCTGTTTTAACTCTAGGGGCAGGTCTATGCTTCAAACAGTGCATTGGCGCAGCTGTGTCACTATGGCGGTTTAATGAAGATGCTCTGCACCAATGGGAGAGAGTTCTAGTCAGTGTAGTTAATCCACCTCCCCGAGAGGCGATAGCTATGTCAATGGGAGAAGCTCTCTCGCCATCACAGTGCTGTCTACCCCGGGGGTTAGGTCGGTGTAACTATGTTGCACAAGGGTGTGCATTTTTCACACCCCTGAGTGACGTAGTTATACCAATGTAAGTCTGCAGGGTAGACCAGACCTAGGTAATGGATTGCCAATTAACTCAAGTTAATTTACACTACTTCAAATGCAAGTCAACACACTCCACAAATACTTCAACTCAGCCTAATTGGCATTTGAAAATTAATTAATTTGAATGAAGACAGGACCACAAACTCTAAACTAGACATATCCTGAAGGGGTGTTACATGGTGGCTTTTTATTTATTTATTTATTTATTTATTTATTTAAGACAGTTGTAAAGAACCCATCATTAAAAGCACAGTTTTCAAGCTTATAAGTACCATTTAAGGAAGTCCAAGTCCTGTCCCTTTTCTGTGGCCAAGTAAGGCCTCCGCAAGCAGGACCAGCATAGTTCTGCAGTGAAAGATCAGGTAGCAGCCCATGCCCTGCACTCTGTGCTCTGCTGGGATTCCCTGCGCCTCAGCAGTGGACCCATAACAACACAGATCTGTTGACTATTCTAGAAAGAGAACATGTCAGTCCCCAGAGGCTACTCATTTTACTCTGCAGCTGTAGTTTGTCAAAGGGAAATCCAAATAAGGCCAGATATGAAGTGCAATAAAGCACGGTGTTTGAATAGCTAAAGCAGTTTATCCATCATAATTTGAAAAGCATCTTCTCTCAGCTACTATGGAATGTATTTCCTTGCACCACCTGGTGGCTTTTACCTGTAAGTGCAGCACTTGTCTCCAGTGCCAAATAGCTTGACATGCAGATGTACTGGGTTTAGTCTTTACCTATTACATTTCCTCACTGCTTGTCTGGGCAGTGAGCAATGTTGGGGGAGGACCTCTCATTGTAGCTGGGAAAATAACACGTCACCAATGTGTACATACACACACACGGTGCAAGGCTGTGAAAGGGGGGAGGCTAGTGAGGAACTTTTCCTATGGCAATAGATTAAAGCTGAAACTTCATACCTCTGATTAGTTTGGCAAAATTAACAGCAATGGACAACATGACAAACACTATAGTACATCTCCTCAATTGGCTAAGAGTAGGGGTTCAAAAGCATGGGGGCTGGGAATAGAGAAAACAGGAGAAAGTTTACTCTGTGAACTGATTTTTAGTGTGAGACCAAAGAAATGTTGGAAACTAAACTTGGGACACTACAGATAATGGTCAATTTTTAAAGACGTCCTATTTAAAAAACAAACAAACACACACACACACACACCCCACCACTGTCATAGGTATTCTGTTCCATTTCAAATTATGGACTAAATTGCTTTTGGCCTCCTTAGTGACTACCTTATTGTCAAGTATGCCCTCAGTCACAGTCCTTCCGACTCCAATTTGATTTTATTTCCAGAAACTCAGGCTCACATTTCTGCTGCGCTGTCATTGCAGATACACATTAAAATGCAACAGAGAGCCAGTGCTGCATGAAAACAGCTTTTATATTGGCATCACTTTCTTAGCAGTGCCTTAATTGGGAATACTGTGCCGACCCAACAAAACCACTGCAGGGTAGCCCAAATACAATCACAAAAACAAAAACAAATAAAAACCCAAAGGGGCCTAAATGCTTCAAACTAGGGACTGCTTCAGGGTAAGGTCAAGGAAAATCAGCACCTTGCTTTGCTACATGAAATTTAGTCCGATTAGAATGTAACCTGGGTTAGAATGTTAGGTCAGAATGTAACCAAGTGGGTAAATATCTACGCTTTTTGAGTTAGCTGGTGCCACACACACTAGAATTTCTTCTACATGACCCTGCCAGCACAGACACTGCTGTAAGTGTTGCTCACCCCCTGCCACGTTGGGTCATAGTGTCTGCCCTATATCTCCTCTCAGCATAACGTGACATAATGTAGTTTCATCCTCCTCCTCACATGACCTGTGAAGAATCATTTATAGTTTAAGAAGCTCCTCCTCACCAACAGTTCTGTTGACAGCATCACATATTTCTGAATGAATGGTGCCAGGGCAACCTAAGTCCCTGAGAATTTGCTAAAATGAAGCTGAGTTTAGTTACTGGTTGTAGGCAACTTGTTAAGTTTAGTAACCAATGAATCTCAAGAAGATTGTTAAGGCCATTATTAACAGCGCTTCAACAATGTCTACATTTTAGGAGAGATGTTGAAGCAAAACAAAAGTAACTTATTTAAATGGTGGTGCTGGAAGGGAAAAGCCACTCATAGCACGGTTCTTAATTTATACCACACAGAAGTGTAAGTGTAAACAGTTCCATTTCCCATAATGAATTTGTACTTCATTTCCAAATACCCACAATCCAGCAGGTGTTCACATTCCCTGAATTCTCAAAAGTTCTGCTTTGGCCACCAGTACTCGGAGCCAGTCTGATTTCTAAGCACTGCCCTTCATGAATCTAGATCTCTGAATTGGCTCATGAATGAGGAAAACAGTGGTACTCTCCCTTGAGGAGGCTGAAGATGGTGGAAGGGGGAGAAAACTGGGTGTAGTCTTTCTAAATGGAAAAAATACTTTATATACCAGCCTCCAACTAGTTATGGTGGGTCCATCTTTAGGTGTGAAATCCACTCACTGTCTTTAGTCATCAAATCCTAACGCTCTTGACTAACACTGTGCCTATTAGTGCCAATTATTATGAGACGACCTGTTCACTAGGTACTAGATTGAAACCATCAATTCATTTTCAAACAGTCACTCTGATGTGTGGCAGGGGGCCCTCAGCAGCTTAAAATTCCTCCATCAAATTGAAGAGAGCATTTGAACAATTTCTTGGCTTCTTGTTGAGACCTTTCCCTCCCCACATCTAGCCAGCACTGAATCCTCTCCTCAGGAGAGGAGAGTTATCTCTGGAGCTTCTAAAATTACCTCTTTGCTTTATTTATTTATTTATTTATTTATTTGCTCCCCTTGTACCAAGGGCCAGATATTTTCAAATATTTTCCTGAGGAACGTATAATACATTCTTAGTCTCGCCAATGGTTGTTTAAATGGGATAACAAATGAATAGACTCATTAGTCCCTCACTCTTCTCTACAGGTGAAATGTACCCCTGTGCAGAGAGGCAGCACAAAGCCTGTGTGCCACTTAAGTCTTACTTAAAGCATATTTTGAGGGTTTAAGTGGACATAGGGCTCCTTGTGCTGGTGCTCTGTGCTGGGGTGAGTTTCACCCTCAGACCATTCACACATTTGGTACTTAGGATTTATAACCAGTGGGGGGGGGGCAGTGGGTACACTTTTATGGAACCCCTTTGTTCAAATACTGGTAGTATACCACTGGGCTAAGAGACTTGCAGCTTCTGACCTGTGCCAGATTTGAATGGCAGAAGGTAGATTCTGCAATATCTCAACTGGCTTGGTAAATCCAGGCATTACACCTCCTTTCAGAATGGGAGGTGGTTGAGAGATTTGGCAGGGAGCTTGAGAGAACACATTTCAGTTTGTTATTCCCTCTCTCCGCCACCCCCATGCATACCATTACTATTCCCTTGCTTATGCCATTCCTTTGCTTTTCCTCCCTACGGGACTGTGGCATCCCTGAACTGTTTGTGTGTCATTGAAAACCCTTACCTTGGAGTGACTCGTGTGAGCTCATCAGAAGGGTGCAGAATGCGGCAGGTGGTGAAGGTGAAGGTGGAGTTGGTTTGTGACATGCACTTCCCAGGATGATGTACTAAATTAAAAAAAAAAAAAGGCAAATTCTTTGCATGTATATATAAAAAGAAAATAAAAAAGTTCAGTGTGCTCACAAACAGATGCAAAAAGTGATGTGATACCTTGGACTGGATCGATGCAGGGAAGGTGAAATATACAAGCTTACTGGGTTATTGGAATTGGCACCCATTCTGCAAACCAATCTCCACAAGTCTAAGTTTATTATGACAATATAAAAATTGTTGCTAAATTTTCCCACCATTACTTTCACCAGTCTAGTTTCACTGGTGCTGTCAAATCTTGCTCCAAACAGGTTCAGATGATACAGTACTTAAAATGCCAGCTGCTGCCACCACCAACACCCTTGACAGTGGCAGCAACAGTGGGAAATTACAGGAAAACATTCCCAGTGCAGACAAGTTTTCAGAGCATCTACAACATACTGAACACTGATGCAATTCAGCTTCTGGATTGATCCAGGTAAAGGCATCTCCATTACCTTTCATTTCAGTAATGGATCCAGCTATGCTATGTAGGCTAAAGCTACAGAAACCATTACTAGTAAGTTTCAGAATGTATAGCGACTCCTCTCTATCCAACTTTCACATCCATACAGAGGATACTTTTAAAATTTTGGATCCAGTACTGTACATCTGTGACATTTCCTTGTTTTTTTAAGACAGAATATCCTCAGCTGCAGTAGATAGCAATTTTTGATTGTTCATAAGTATATGCTGTGACAAGTATAGAAAAACATTTTGGTATTGCCAACCGTTACTTAATTGTAAAAATGTCAGCTCTTACATTCTGATCACAGTATAGATAATCTGGAAAAGGGGGGTGATCTGGTTTGTAGGGAAAAGAAACATTAAGTGGTTAAGCTGATGTACTTAAGTTCTTAGCAGAATGGTGGGTTTTTTAATTTATTTTTTATTTGCTATACAATGCAGCTGTGGAATATATTCTATTGCAAACTAATCAGAAAGTTTAGGAGCCATGCATCTGAAAAGCTTGAGGAACAACCAAAGAAGTTAAATACTATAATAAAAGATATCATGATTGCATAGGTTATTTACTATCTGAGCTTTTAAAAATTAGTGGTGTCCAAAACAACATGCACAATAAACCATGCGTGTGATTTCCTTCCCCACCCCAGTCCTCTGCGGCATTTCCTGACTAGGCCACATTTTACTGTTGCAGTATGTGACTGATTGACAGATTGCCTGGAACAGACACCACACACCATTCAGAACTTCCAGAGAGTCTCAGAAACAAGCAAGGCAGGTTCTGATTGTGACTGTATTTCCTCTTTCATTTGAAATATATTACAGCTCAAATACTCATGTGCAGCCAGGCAGTCCTTAAAGAAAGTAGGATATCCACAGGGTATAAGGTGTAAGAAAAAGCATGAGCAAAGTGAAAGGTGAAAACAGAAACGCAAGTGTCTAAGCACGTGACAGGTGATTCAATACGAAGCTAGCTTCTCCATCTTTTTAATAATAGGAAACATTGCCATGTATTAATGGAAGTTAATGTTTTTGGTTAAACTCACTGGGGTATCCTGTTCGGAAGTTTGGTTGTTAGTACAGTATTTAAAAAAAAAAAAAAAAGCCAACCAGCTCTACTTCACCTCCACAGATGATAATTATGACGGTTCAGGAATCCCGTTGCTTTAGAGATTAGTGAGAGCAATGTATTTATCTACTGTATAAGTGAGCACAGCCTAGCAATCATGATTCTCTGCATATCATTGAAAATTAAAATAAAAGCTGGAGAAAGATCTCAAATAATGGACAAGAAAAAAGTTATTTGGTGAAAACATCAAAGGACAGAAAGTTGAGATATAACAGTTCTTGCTAGATGACAAATAAAAACAGAACAATGCAATGCTGGTTTTAGATTGTGAGCCCAGCCCAATTATGCACATGGCTACAGAAAACTAATCATATTTCCCTCCCCTATTGATTGCAGTGGTCACTGAAGAATGCACCAATTGTGCTTCCTCTCAGATTTGAAATGGGCACATTGAAGATATAGCTGCATTAGCAAAAGCAAAACTTGTAATTAATGAGTCTGTGAGATAGGAAAAGGCTGCTAAAAGTACAGCGTCACTGATCCAAGTAGTAAGGGATACATCAAAATGATTAAAGAGAAATCAATATTCAAAGCCATAGATTTAACCCTCCAAAATACCACTAGGAGAACGTGGACCAGCTTCACCCTCCATCAGTCAACAAAGAAGTCTATCAGATTGCCGTAGTATTTTCCATCCTTTGAACACAATATGAAGAGAGTAAGAACCCATCATTGTGAATGATCAGTACCACCCAAAGTTCAGGAAATGCAAACAAAAGACTTATTCCTAAGCAAACCATCCTACAGAACATGAGTCAGATCCTGAGCTGGTGTAAACTGGTGTGGAACTCAAGGGGACTATGTAGATTTACACTAGTTGAGGATCTGGCCTGTGACATTTAAAATAATACTTTTCTGCAGAAGTCATCAAATTATCAAGATACAACAGCCAACTGCATTTAAGAAGAGGAAAATGCTCTGCTCTCCCCTGCATATTCCACAACAAACATCTGCAATGCTGGCAAGGTATCTTCAGAATCCTGCCTCAGTCTGTTTTATATACATTTCATTACAGGTTTCAGAGTAGCAGCCGTGTTAGTCTGTATCCGCAAAAAGAACAAGAGTACTTGTGGCACCTTAGAGACTAACAAATTTATTAGAGCATAAGCTTTCAAAAGCTTATGCTCTAATAAGTTTGTTAGTCTCTAAGGTGCCACAAGTACTCCTGTTCTTATTTCATTACAGGGACACCTGCTAGAGCCCCTGACCATTTCTGTACTTTTATTAATAATCCTTTTTTAAAAGACAATAATTAGTGACTAAAATTCACAGTAGGATGAAAACAGAGAAATTATGCAAAACACAATTTGTTTAAAAAAAAAAAAAGAGAAAAAATTCTCTTGAGGGGCAAAAGTGATTTTATATCAATCAGTGCAGTTTAGAGCAGCTCAGGCCTGTTTCAGGTTCAACCAGGATATCTAAAGCCTCAAGGAGCCATCCTACCAGCTAGATACAGCACAGCCATGCTCCCAGTGCTAGGGTAATACTCAACTGGCCATTTAATCTGGTTTTACGGCCCCTCTGTGCCACCAGAGAGGCACAAAGGGGCTATAGCAGAGCCTAGGGCCTGCCTCACCCGCAGAGCACTGGTAGACAAATTTGGTTAGTGGAAGAAGTGAAAAAAAAATTACTGAAATTAACAGAAACGCATTAACATATAAAACTGGGTCCAGACTCTTGTTCTCCATTATGCCAAGGATGTTGATTGATCTTGTGAGAGGCTGCACTGAGTGGAATGCATTGTACATCTTTGCACTGCAGAATATTTCTCTCATCAGATCTATAGTTCCCCTGAAATAGGTGGAGGAATTGGAGAGGTGAATCAAAGTCTTGGATGGCCACAAGACATCTAGGAGAACTTAGAGACTAGGTTTGTGTTTTTTAAAAGCTGGAGTGAGCCATTCTGTCCAGCATTTCGTATGTGGGCTTGTGCTGAGGAAAGGATCTAGTCCCTTGTCTTTGATTAGAGCGTGGGATCACTTCCCTCACCATTCTTCCGCAAAAGGACACTTGCCCTCTTTAGGGCCTGAAGCCACATTCACCTTTGCCTTCTTTAGCAGGGATTGGCTGGAAGCAGGGATGGGAGAGTGAACTGTAATTGGGAGGAACTAGCTGATCTCTTTGGTGTGGTCAGTAGGTGTTTAAAGCATTAAATATTTCTTTTATCACTGCAGTGAAATAAAAGTCATGGCTGCTTTAGAGGGGATAGGAAGGAAGGAGGATGACTAGTAATGCAAGATCCCTGCGAGGGCATTTTTTCTTCGATGGTGCTATTTTTATATGAAATATGGAGTCCAAGGGCTCGATATCCATTATTAGTACATCATCATCAACATACCCCACAGGGAAGGAGAAATGCTTGAACCTACACAGCCTGGCAAAAAACATTGTCTGTGTCATCAAGTGGCACATGGCAAAGCAGAATGGATGTTTCAGGTACTTCCTATAACTCAGCATGGCTTATTCTCCTGGACAACAGAAGATGGTAGCTCTGGCATGGAGAGAGAAAGGTCCTCTCCAAGGGGCTTTACCGTCTCTGTTGCTGGTGAACTTACAGCAGACTAATTCTGCTGATAGGAAACAGGGCGAGAAAGGGGAAGTTAATGGCTGAAAGCCTAATTATGTCTGCTGGAGTCAAAAATCAAACAGGGATAGTCTGCCAGAACCAGCCCATGTAAAGGGGACTGAGATCATGTTTCGATTATCTGGGGGTCTCTGCTGTTCGGAGGACATAACCCTGACTGACCCACAGGCAAGTGTCTATATGACATTTTTTCTGTGATAACGCATAAAATTGACCATTTTGTCATCTATTATGCACTTCCATGAGCAAAAAGTTTTGGATGGAGAGGAGGGCAAGCAAGGTACTTCTACCTTCATCCCTCTTCAAAAGTGATGGTCTGGAGCTTCTTCTCCACCCACCATTCTGTGCTTGAGCAATGAATGGCTCTCTAAACAGCAAGCTTTTCTTGAGTTCTCCATCATGAGTTAAAATCCTGAGACACAAGAGGAGGAAGGACAGAATTACCTGGCTTTGGTGGAGAGACTGAGTCAAAGACTCAATATTAGTAATGTTATTTTACTTGGTTACTACTATTAATGGGTTTTATAGTAAAAACCCACCAAACAAACAAACAAAAAAAAAAAACCCACTCCAACTCACATCTTAACAATGCCTAAGATGGTATATCAATAATTTCTTATTTGTGATACATAACACATTAATTATATTTGCATTAGAACCAAAGAATAAAACATAACTGAGCAAGGATGGTTTAATGAGTGAGCAACTGTTCAAAAGAATGGCCTGTAATGGAAGCAGATACATTAGTTCAGCAAGGGTTCTGGTATCAAACACTATTTATGTGGAATCTCTATGATTTTTCTAGGCTGTTATTGACTGAGGTCTGCTTGTCACAAAATATACAACCATACAGTACAGAAATGAAGAAGTTTCACATTTTTTAATCATTAATCTGGCTTCTACCTGACTGTAGGCAGGCTAGGATATTTGAGTCAAACTGTAATACTTTTAACAACAATAAGCAAAAATTAATATTGACAACTCTTCCTTTTACAAAACTGCCTTTCAAATATTTATACCATCTTAGAAAAGATAATACAAATGTGCATCAGCACTTTGTTTTAAATAGATATAAGTGTATTTTCATTCCTTTTCCATGTATTGCTAATAATCTCTTGTAGGCATATATTAGTCTTCCTAAAAACAACCAGACTTAAGGCATTCATTATGTACTTCCATCCTTTTAGGCACTTGTTTCGAAAATCTCCCCTTCTCTCTACCTTTAAATGCCAAGTTGTGAAAAAGAAATCAGTGCATGGGCCTGATCCTGGAATCCTCCTTCACACAAGTAACCTCATGCAAATTAAGAGCTGCAGGATCAATCCCTATGACCCTGAATCAGCCTACAGTTAAATATGCACTTAACTGCAGTGGGACTACTCAGATGCTTAAAGTATATTAAGTCCTTTGCTGGCTTAGGGCCTATATACGGAAGTCTCCATCTGAAATTGCCTTCTGTCTCATAAAAGGATTCTGTCAAGTTTTAGACCAAAAATGAGGTTTTTTATAAATATATTTCTGTACATTCTTTAATGTGATTTTGTTGCAAAAGTTACTTATCCTAGGAACTATGCTACATATTCTTGAACGCCATCTACTGGCGCTTTTCCTATTAACTAATTATTTACAAATATGCAGAATAGAACACCCCTAATCAGCCTTTATTTCAGTGAAACATTCTTTAGTGGTTCTGAAAACTTCAGCGAAAGAGCATTGTTCGAGTACCTCAACCAGACAATCTGACTACAAACTAAAACTGACTAAGTCTGGTACAATGAAGGTTTTAAAAAAAGGAAAGAAATAGCATAAAAGGTGAAAAAAAATAGACGTTTAAGTGCTTTCAGCTTTAATAATCTTAGGTATTATTGGCACAAATAAGGCTATTTTTTAAAATGTATTGGGTTTTAACTAGACAGTACCCATTTAATATCCTCACTACTTCAATTATGTTGAAAAATCCCTGATCGTGCAATTTACAATGCCTGGGCAGATGGCTGTTCCCACATGTAACCTGGAGTGCTCTGTGGACACAGCAGTTCACCCATATATTGCAGGGTCATGGGCTCAACTAGTACTGAAAAATCTTAATACCATGACCATTACTCTGGTCCCATGTGCGGAAGTTATTCAAAGCATTTACATTTGCTGCAGTTCTCAAACCTGGAGAAAAAACTCTAAAAAACATAGATCAGTCACCCGTTAGTCAGCAGAGATTTATGTCCCAACCCATCATCCAGACAGGAGGCAAACTGCACTGTCCTTCCTTTTTTTGGGCCATAAGATGTCTTCAGCACCACCCGAAAGCATCAGCCATATTTGCTCTCTTGAACCTAGATATTAGCACTTAAAGAGAATGATCATTGCAAGTGCTTATCAGCAGGCCACACAAAGCAGTCATAGCAGCTCACTTTAGCTGCCCATAAAGATGTGAACTGGAAATGCTCCTCACAACCATCTGATGGAAGGATGTGGTTCTTGGAGGTAGAAAAGACCTCTCTCATTCTTGCAGGGCAGTATGTAATCCTCAGAAGTAGACATATATGATAAATTGACATATAGCCAAAAGGCTAAGAAGATCCTACTGTTGCATATGATCCTGTAAGGGCTTATTTCCAGGAGTTGTAATATTTTTATAGCCTGCCAAGACTCATTGTAAGGAAGGTATTTTCTTGCTTCAAACGTCTCTTAAAGTGGGAATTCCACAATGGAAAAAACTTGAGTTTTTCCACAAAATGAAATTTGATCGTCCGGATTACTTTCTATATTCCCTTTGCTTTTATGTCAGTCGTGTTCTTAGAGAAGAGTTTATTCCCTGATAGCCTAGCTTCTCCACTTGCTTGATCTTGTAATGAAATCAGCCTTGTTTGTGTGACACTGCTGTACTCTCTGATGGAATGAAAATGAATGGAAGGTCACAAATAAATACATCAATCAATAAAAATCAGCATTTGATTTCACTGCAATATCAAACAAGAAGAAAAGATAAGTTGAGAAAAGCAGTTTTGCCAATATTTAAATACAGAATAGCTTTTTAAACTAATCAAAAGTAGAAAAAATATTATGAATCTCTCCCAACAAATCCTTTTGCAGCGACTGTCCCTAAAAGATAAACACTGATTGTGTACCCTAGATTTAAAATGTGCACAGCTGTAAGTAAATATTTTAAGGACACTTTTCACTATAAACTGATCTGTTTGAGAGTTTCCCCAGCATGGTAGTCTCTTTGTAATTGCTTCAGGTAAGTGAATGTTCATCAGGCCCTTTTCATTAAGGAACCACAGTGCCTGTTATAACCCTCTTGCTTATATGAGACATTATTTATCCAGTCTTTCAGGGTTTATTCCTGCCTCTTTGCAGGAGCTTTTCCTCCAGAAATTTCTTTTTCTTGAAAAGGAAAGTGTGGAAGTAGGTATATAACTCATGACTGCTGAGGTCAGACAGATATGCTCTGAGAAGCATGAGGAGTCATACCAAAGCTTCACCTGACATCAGCTACATGTTTCATCCACATTTGTTAAGAGATGGGAGTGGTTATAAGGCTCCATAAAAAAAAAGTACAATAATGACAATGTGTTGGCAATGTAAAGTCTGCATTCCAGTCATCTAACAGCATAAGAGGTGGTTGGTAACTTCCAAAGTGCTGAATTACTCCAATGCAGAAAAAAGGGAGCTGCAATCTCTCATTCCTTCACTTGAATGAGACCCATAGCAACTGCAAATCTGGCTGTGGTTCACTAATGCTGTTAGGTCCTCCACAATGGGACAGAACAGGCTATACCAAAACCTGTGCCATTTGGAGGAGGAGTTGGAGATGGAAGACAGTTCAAAGTTTTCCATGGATTTCCTTCTTCGACTTATTAAAGTTGTTTCTTCACCTTCATTCTAAAACATCTGGTAGCTTTCCCCCAATTCAGCAATGTATTTAGGCACATACCTAAACTTTAATGTGAGTAGTCACATTGCGATCAGGGGGACCACTAGTGGGACCCGTCACACATTTAGCATTAGACACTTGCCAATTTCTTTGGCATATTCAACAATTTAGGAAGACGGTTTGAGATGGTGAGAGTCTCCTGGATCGGAAGGGACTGTTCTAATGCCTTTAAACCAAACTGACAAAGAAAGAAAAAAATTGCTTTCTTGTCAAGCTTACTCACAGCTAATAATAGTTCCACAGACACTTATTTTCTTCATAATAAATACCAGTCACTAGACAATGGATTTCAAAGAGTAAAGTCCATTTTTGTAATTGCAATAGGAGTTGAAAGCATTTGGCACCTAGCAGATTCCTGCTACAATCTACAGGGAGAACTGCATCTTATATGAAGTTAGGGCACAATACTGAGAGGTGCTGAATTCCCATTCACCTTTATGTGATCTGAAGGCGCTTAGTACCTCATGGCAGGTTCCAAGCACCTTGTAAAATCCAGCCCTTAGAAGCCATCTAATTTCCTATGACTTCACACACAAAGTATAATTTCATCCAAAAGAAAAGTGCCATTCGGAAAAATGACTAGATATAAATGATTTAGTTTCATGGAAACATCAGTTTTGGCTGGGTTTGTCACTGATAAAGAACCATGTTTATTATGAAACCATAAAACCAGTGAATTGTCAGATATAAAACTACTCTTCCCTTCCAAACTTAAATCTATTTTAAGATAAATTTCAATATACCTACATTGCAAGAAAATTTGTAAACTCTGTGTAGCCACAAACTGTGACATGGCTCACAATATCCAGTGTATAAAACACTATTTTGAGTCATTTAACATATTCAGTGATGCTTTGAGTCCCAAGGATAGAATTTGGGAGTGGTTCAGTGGAAGGGAAAAACTAGTGTTTGTAAGGAAAATCAGATGTGATTACTGTATCTTCCACATACAGAATACCTTTAATTCTTAGCTAGATGACAAAAATCTTTATGGGCTAAATTTTAAGAAATGTGTATTTAAGGTAATTGGACACTCAATTTGGAAAATTCCTTTGCTTAATTTTAAGTGAAGACACATTTATTTGTTTCACAAATATAACCTAGAAGCACTTTTTTCAACATTTAGCCTTACAGAATCTAGCTTTTTCTAAACAAGAATTAAAGGAATGTGGCATTATCCTTTTTGAATGTCTAGAAAAATATTATGTAAACACATAGAATGTAGTGTATATATATTATGTATATGTACACACAAACATATCACAAACCCCAGTCTCTCTCTCAATCATTTGAACGAACCACTTCCTTTTAGCAGCCTTCTCTTATCAAACTAAAAAGGAAAAATTAACCATGTGCTTTAAAAAATGTAAAACAAATTAGAAGATTTGTTAAAGAAAGAAACATTTTGAACTAATGTTAGAACGGGCATATTTTAATTGCCGCCCACACTAATGTGCAGAAGCTACACACAAAGAGACACTATGGATGATGCTCTGGAGAGATGTGAGAACAGCCCAGTAATCAATATCCTGTAAAGATGTCAATTTTACTGGACTTAATGAGGTTCCCTCACCAGACCCCTCATCATCGGCAGTCGTGGACTCCTGCATCTCCTCTGTGAAAGCCTGAGACTGGCTTGGATTATTCTTGCTGTCTGAAACAGTCACTTGTGCTTGTGACCTCTCACCTGAGGTCTCTGTGTGCTGAATTGGCGTCGAGGTAGTTAGGCCCTTGTAAGAAATGTCACCTGTCTCATCTTCTTCATAATCATTAAGGCAGTACACTTCATCGAGGTCAAGGTCCAGAGTTCTGAAGCCTTTAGTGACAACCCCAGGCCTTGGGTCTAAGATTCCGCCCAGGTGAGGCTGAGCTAGCTGCTGCCAATGATGCAGAGTGGCTGAACCTTTAAGAGGAAGAAAAAAACAAAACAAAAATCAGCAAGCAAGCCTGAGTATTTCTCTCAGCTGAACATCTGGATATTCTCATTTCACTCATCTAGGGTTCAATCCTCGTCCCACTGAAGCTCTGCCATTGGCTCCATGCTTCCAGGATTTGGTCTTTAGTTCTTGTATTTATAGGATTGTACACCGCCACAGAACTATGGCTTTTAGATTGTCCCAGACCAACATGAAATAAAGCAGTGACAAACACTAGACAAAGCCAGTGGGCCAAATCTTCCTTATTGTAAAGAGGGTAGGTAGTGCCATCCTCTTCTCAGACCATGCACGCTGGGACTAACAATACAGAATTAAAGAGAATATATATTTAAACAGCATACTAATCACCAAAATGGGCAAAGTCAGAAAAATGGGCACCAAAGATTTCTGCCCTAAGCACACACTAGAATTTACTACTGGGGACTAAGGGGAGGAGAACAATTATATAGTGGATGCTAGAAAATTATATCAATTCAAGTTTAAAGGAAGGAGGAAAACACCAATGATTTGTTTATCAATTCTAGGTACTTTTACAGCCTGTATACTACTGGAATGCACTAGTACATAAGCATACTCTACTATACCTGCAATTTCATCCTTGGGAAGTAACATTTTGGGTGTGAAAAAGGTACACTTTTAAGAGAGTAATGAAACATGAGACAATGAGCCAGCAAGAGCAATTCATCAGTGTACACATCAGTCGAGGAGTGCTGGTTATGGACCTGATCCTGCAACCACTGAAATCAGTGGAAGATTTATCATTATTTCATTGGGAGTAGGATTAAACCCTGCATCAAAACCCAAGAACTCAGAAATTGCACTCTGATCAGCCCACATCAATTACTCTTTTATAATGTATAGAAAAAATATTGAGGTAATTTGCTTCAAATCCCATGCTGGTGACATACTTGAGAACATTCCTGTTCACACAACCAAGAAAATTATTCAATTCTTTTTACCAGAAAATGGTGTTTATTCAATGTGATACAATGCAATAAATAATGTGTTTGGTTTCAATGTGGTATTTAAGACTATCAATTTTCAGTTACTTGGTCTTCTACATGCAAAACCTAATGGACCATAATATTGTGGAGGGGCTGTCTTAGATGAATTAATGTCATGTATCTGAAAATACCCACAGAGTAAATTATTACTTTACATCAATAACAACAAACTACATAAAATACATTCTGGATAGTAACTGGACTTTTGGGAACAGTGAATGTAAAAAGAATGGGCCATATTTATTCTCGGTTTAACTGAAATAAATGAGTTGCCCCAGGAATGAAACTCGCCCACTGTGTTTTGAAATCAACATTTTCAGCTTATATCAGAGAAAAATCAATAATAGAAACCTTCAAGTATTTCAGTACAGACAAAGATACACATGTTGGATTAAACTGACCCTGGTACAGAGGGCCAGCAAAATGCTTATGCTCTAGCAATGTCTCTCGTTTGATGGACTACATCCAATGGAAGTTGCACATTGGCCTTGGGGTGGCCCTCTGCACTAGGGTGAATGTGACCATTTGAAAATAAATAGTTTATGGACAAAGAAAAGTAACATTTTCTCCCCAATATTTATTACTGTGCTGTTCCACATAAGTTTTCCTTTGTGCAGATTCTATTGCAAGAGATGGATAATAGAGGTGTTCAGATATTGGTGTGTCTTTTATTAAAAGCCACAAACACCCCACAGGATGTTTCAGAAAGCAAATGACAGAAACCAAAACCTCTCTGTACATGCTATTGTACAATTCTATGCAGGTTGACTTCTTGACTCCTATTCACTCCTTACGTTAAAACTTCTGGAGAAATACCCTTTTCACGTCAGACCTCACCAAAATCCACATCTTGTAGCAACTTTGTAGAAAGAAAGCAGTCAGTGGGCAAAATGAGAGCAAAAAAAGTCAAAGCCAGGTAAACTTCACTGCACACAGGAGGAAGTTTCAGCTACATCTGCATTGTGAGGAGCTACACAGTGGTATGTTATATCTCCTTCATTATAGGTTTTTTTTAAAAAGTGAAAAGTAATAATGTTCTGGATTTAATTTTTTTTCTCAAAAATTACTGCAAATGCGGAAGGCAACATAGTTTTTCTCTTACAGTTAGATATAGGGAAAGCAATAAAATGCAGAAAATTGTTTTGAGACACATCCATCATTCAAAAAACAATGAGAGTGGAAAGCAGTGCTGCTTTAAGAAGCATCTGCTACACTAAATTCTTGTAAATTATAAATTATCAGAAGGAAAATCAGAGAAAGTGGAACTATGGAGTAGAACAATTAGACTGCAGAATCACTGAGGAGAACTGAAATTTTATTTGCTTTATTCGCATGTGTAACTGTTCACAAATTTATTGAGGAAGATCAAAACTGAGAAGCAATTTGATCTGTGTACTGTGTGGGCCAAGGGAAGCCAGAAAACACCATGAAGGTACCATCACTGATAGATGGATACTGAATGACTGAGCCAACCTCAAGGCCATATTTCATGAATGTATACTCTCAGTGGATTTGGGGAGTTACACATGGCACTTATGGTACAAGATGCTATGGATACAGAAAACTAAGGAAATTGGACTAAGAAAAAAAGGATGAACCAAAAACGAACAATCTGATGCAATGCAAAGAGAGAGTCCCACTATCGTCTAAACGTGTAACAAAGCCACTTTTCCCTTTTTAACCAAACCTGATTAAAGGGAAGAGGAGAATGGGAATAATTTCTTCCACACTAAGTGTAATCCACTATTTCTTTTACTATAATTTACAACACTGTTTCAAAGGAATAGAAATCACCTAAATTTGAAGTGGATTAACAAAGCATTGACTGTAATTTGTTCGATTTCTATGGCACATATACCCTTAAGATAAAAACACACTAGTAACTACTGAATAACAAAATTCAGTAAAGATATAATGAATTACACTTATGTTAGGCAGGGGAAAAATATTCAATACTTATTTGCTGCACAATAGTGATCCATGTTTTTCTAAATTTAAGAAAAAAATGTAATCCTTTCTCCTGAAGAATCTAATCAGAGTGGTACATGGAATCAAAATCACTTATTTTTTAAAAGATGGTAAATATCATTAAAATTAGAAAATGGACAGAGATACAAGCACATGTTACTAATGGACTGTGAAAGACATGCTGAAAGTGTTCCAGAAATTTCAAGGGAAAGAGAGTGATCTGGTAAGAACAATACACCTTCCCCGCTCCCTCACAGCATGCCCCACCCCCAAGAAGAACTTGGAGCAAATCTGAGAAAATTAAAAAGACAGACAGATAGAAAGATCATGAAGACTGAAAGAGTTTATTGAAGGAAAAAGCAAGGATATAGCTGGATGACAGAAATCTATTACAATGTTAGCAACCAATATATATGTTAAGTGAAGTCTGAACATCCCTTTTCTAAAAGCAATATAAGAACTCCAAATGGTTACTAGATGAAAGCAATCATGAAAACAGAAATGATACCACTTAAAAAGAGTACTATGGCTATAGAATCATCTGAGTAGGTGCAGCATGCCAATTTCTTCATGGAAAACAATAAGCTTTATCTCCATTGAAAATAATCATGAGAAATGCTCTGTCTGCTTGAAGATCCATTCATTTTATTTTTAAAGGAAATGCTGCAAGTTCACTGGTGAAATTAAAACGTGCATGAACCATTTCACGAAATATTACAGTTCTGTAAAAAACAAAATCCCAAAAACAAAGAACAAAAACACTAAGCAGAAGGGAAGCTCCTAACAGGATTTACATAATTGCACACATGAAATCACACTATGGCAAAACAGCTGATGAAAACTGAAAGCATTCAATAGAGCCAGGCACACACAACACACCGATGGAAACATGCTTTAAGCTCTGAAAAGCAACAGCACTGATATTCTAGTTCTGAGTACAGACCACCAATTATCTTGCTTTGTTTTGTGATGGGGAGAAATATAAGAAGCTTGGCTGAAATCAAATAAGTCATTTACACGTGAGACCAAAGACTTCATAGTTTTCGAACTCAGGTCCAGATGTAAAAAAGTTGAGACCCAATCCTGCAAACACTTACTTACTTATGTCAGTCGTTCCATCAAAACTAACTTCATGAGAATAAAAATATTAACATACATACCTGTTTTCAGGATTGGGTCTGATGCTCCCCAGGTCTGCTCTGATAAATTTAGATACTTTCCCCGCCAGCCCTCAATACTCTATGCATACATGATGTGCATGAAACATTAATAATGGGATTCATTTCAGTTATACAACAGCTCTACTGAAATATTTTTCAACTATGTGTTCTTGACTATACTCTCTATGGTGTGGTTTATTTGTTTTTATGCAATGCACCTTCTTTAAGGCTTATGGAGAAATTTACTTTAGTTTTTAAAAGAGTTCAAACCAACAACGAGGATGACTATCTCTAAAGTAAAAAGAGTATGTATTATAGAGGTTTCCTGCTTTCTGGTGATGGATCAGAGACCACAGAGAGTCACTAAGAATAACAAATAAAGGCCGAGGCCCTTTATTATCACCTTCAAGGGGCTTCACAATTTGAAGTTTCTCTGGCAGGTAGGAGCGACTGCTGATGGACATTCCTGAATATCCAGTGAATTCTGAAAACCTGGAGTGAGTTCCCAATGACATGATGCTCTCTGTTGGTGTAATGGAACCACTTCTCCCTTCACTCTTCTCCGCCAGTTCCCGTAACTTCCTGTCCTGTTCTTCTTCAAAGAACCTCCGCTCTGAGAGGTAATTCTCTCGCCGAAGAGACAACCTTCGAAGAGCTGTCTCCAAGTCACTAGAACCAGGTGTCCCCGGAGTTCCAGGCTTCTTATTCTTGTCTTCATTTCTAAACACAACAAGAAAAAAGAAAAAGAAGGAAAACAGCTTAAAACAGCTTAAACTTCATCTACTATTTCCCAGGCATTCAACCACCAACATGGTCTTACGCTCGTCACATCTCAAAACATGCTAGTCTTACAGTGAAGTCTGAGAGGACACACTTGTCTTGTCTTGAAAATGGTGTCCAATTCTGCATACCAAGGCAAGGACATGAAGTAAAGTTAATTTTTTAGCCTTGGAATACATCTTCCACTACTTAAACTCATCTGCTTCTGATGTACAGTGGAAACCTCTTCCCTGCCACAAACCACGATGGAAATAGATGTGTCAATTGAAGACCCAATCCTACAAAGAGTTGAGAACCTTCAAAGAGGTGCTGATCCCCCCCCACTTTCCCAATTCCAGTGAAATCAGTGGGGACTGAAGGTACTCAGAGCCTTACAGGAGCACCCAGATTATCAACCACGAAAGGAATACATTTTGCTGGTAAATAGCCACTTGTTTTGTGAACTATTTAATAATAAGCATTTTACTAGAAAGTATGCTCCGTGTTGTAAAACATACCGGGGAAAAACAAATATTGAATGAAGAGCAAGGCTCTGACTAGTTTTACTTACAAGTTTTTATAAGTCACCTTCACGTTCTTTAGGATCGAGAGAGTTAGCTATAACTGCATGTAGAACAAACCTCTCACGTTAATTCAAACTGGTGAAATATCATTTGTTAAGAATGTTGGCTTGCATTTTCAAAAGTGACTAGTCATTTTAGATGCCTCATTCTGTTGCACTGAAAATCAGGCTCCCTTTATCATGCTGTCTCAGGTTGAGTGCTCAAACATTGATGCACACTATCTAGCAACTTTATAAAATGTAGGCCATTATGTTAATCTGTGACAAAATGATTTAAAGGGAAGAGATAAATATTAAAATGCTTTGCCTGCCTCATATATATTAGAAAACAATTGTGCAGCCTAGCTAGGTAGTACTGACCCAATGTCAGAGGATTCTGTTTCTAGAATGATGCTATTGGTCTTGTTGTCTATCACATTGTTGGAGATGTCTCCCCCATAGAAACTGGAACGTGGAGTGCTGGTACAGCTAGAAATGACTGAGTTCATTGCAGAAGACTGGTTAGATCCTGGGATATTCATTGGAGATGGAGTCAGGGATCTCTGCTTGACAACCTGGTTTATGTTTCTCACAGTCTCAAAGACCCGCTTCTGGTGACTGATAAAATACACATATAGTCAGTAACCACAACACCAAGCAAAATTGTGCCTTCAAACACTGAGTATTAGAGAAACAGGAATGGATCAGTACTGATCAATTATATCACAGTTACACATCCAGTCTTGACACCTTTCCTAACATACTTTTGGTCTGATACTTGCAATAGTCAGGTTTCCAAAACATGATTTGTGCCAAAACAACATTCAAGCCAAACCATGCAACATTCTCTCATAATTCTGAAGTACAGTTCAATTTTGAAACATTAGATGTTGACCTATTGTAACCTTGTCTTTTTTTTTTAATAGTCAGTTTATTTTATATGCAGGAAGAGGATACAGCAAGTCAGTAGAGACTGTCAAGGTTGGTAAGCTTCAATTCTGACTTACTTTTAAAGTTCTCTCTCTCTTTTCCCATAATCCTTCTGACTTATAACGGTTTTCATTCAAGAGTAAAATAAGGGGGGGAAGTTTTGACAGAGATTTAAAAAATAAACCTGTTCTACCGCAGATGGCATGTCACAAGAGGCCCCACCGCGTGGTTCAACCAGAACTCAGACTACAGACACTTATCGAGGCCCCTCCCTCATCCCTCCCCCCACCAGCTTCCATTTTCCACAGCTTTGCAAGGGTATAATAATTAATCAGGAGATTCATACGAGCGCTTTATGATGATTCATATTTGTTTGTTCAATTGGTGTGTACTGAACAGCTGTGTCCTTAGTGCAGAAGCTCTATAACAACATGCCTTAAGTATCTCAGAAAAGTGTGAGCATCCCTAAAATAGCATGACGTTGTCCAAGAGGATTTTTTGCCTTTTTTGTTCACTATTAACAAAGGCAAACATATAACAGGGGGAATGTAAAAAGACAAAGTGGATAATAGAGATAATATTTCACTGACAAATAGCTGGATGGGGCTGGTAGTAGTAGCACAAAACATTAATTAGATGCAGTAAGAATCTGTGGATGAAAAGGTACATTAAATAAGACCTACAAACTTATTTGGGGGAGGGGGGTCTTATCTATACTAACGGAGCTTGATTCTTTTTTCATTCAGACAAACACAAGTCAGGCCTCAATGGAGTTATATCAGTGTGTTAGGAGAATCAGGTCCCATGCAGTTTGTATGAGAAACACGTGGCTTCATTTTGCTCAAGCTTCATTTGTGCCTATAAGCTCAGACTCAAAGTGCACTTAAACAAAGTACTTGAAGTTAAGTGTTTTGTTGAATCAGGGCTTCATCTTCTACCCTCCCTCCCTTCTTTGGAGAGCTCAGGCTAAGTCAGGATACAGCTCAATCAGGTTCTCCTAATTAACATTAGTTTACTTCAAATTACTTCACCTATTTATAAAAGTGTAGGCTGGTTAGACTTGTTGCAGATTATATACAATTTACATCAGTAGGGAAGGCCCTTTCTTTTCTGTCAAGTGATCCCAACCTTGGTCTACAATGGATTTAGGCTTTGGAATGAACAACAGTGCTGCACTCACCTCACCTTAAACCAAGATTTTGTTTACAGTAGGGAATTTTAGCTAAACATATTGTCACTGCTGCTACCACTCCTAACAGGTTTGATGGACATGGGAGGAAAAAATGCCAGAATGTGCTGAGGCCTTGTCTGCATGAAGACTCTCACTTGAGATGCGCAGTCAGTCAGCACACTGTTGGGAATTTCTGCTATTACTCCCTAGGGAAGAGAGGGGACCAAGTGACTTATCCCAAATCATTACTCAGGCAAGTCTAATAGGGTAACAGTTCAAGATTATCCCTTTCACTCCCTGTTTCAGTATGCACATTTCCATCACATAAGAATTAAAGCAATAATTTCTGGGGGAAATATATAATTAAAAGCTCACATCTTCCTTCAGGGGGACCTACAAAAAAACAAGCAGGCAATCTGTTTCCACTCCTGCCTGTGCCCAATAGATTATGGGCAAGACCAAACTTTTCCTTCCAAACCTCCAATTTAGCTATTTACTCTCACCTTTCACAAGACCAACACAGAGAAGTTTACAAGAACTTTTAGGGCAAATTTACATAGCAGATTTTACAGTGCCATGTGGTAGTGTTATTAAACACTTTGCTGTAGATGGGACCAAAGAACGTTGCAACCTTTTAACTGATCTGTAGAAATCCGTAAAGTGGTTTTAACACAATTTAAATCAGGTCTACACAGGCAAGCCCAAACTGTATTATAATGTGACAGGTCACCTAAAGTGTTCTATCAAGAGGCATGGTTGTATTTATTGTATTAAAAAGGCCCTTAGAGAGCAGGACCCTTGTAAACTTTACATTTAGAATGAAACAGGAAAATGAGGAAACATGTTAAAGGAACTCATTCACCCATCAAAATGCATGGCACAACTGACAGGTCATGCTTTCAGCCTGCATCCTTTCTGGAGAAAAAGTGATTTTATGTTTCATTAAAAGACTGCTTTATTTTTAAATTTCTCTTTTTTAAATATGGGTTTAGCACTACTGAAAAATGTAAGACAGCAAAACTGAAGATGAGAGTCCTTTATCCACAACAGTGAAAGCTTCCCCAAACCACGATGTCAATGTTCCTCAACCCTGACCTAGAGGAACCACCTCTAGGGATTAGAGGGCAGCTCAGCTTCCAGGCCTACTGTCTTTTCTTGGAAAAAACAAGTAAGCAACTACTGTGATGACAATTTTTGTGATGTGGGACAGCAGTCCACTAGGAACTGCATTTAGAAAGTCTTCATTTCACTCTGGGATCACTATTCTTCTGTCAAACAATAATACATTTTGGATACAATCAACTGCATCAACTTTTTTTTTTCATACAGAACATAGGAGCCAATTGTATTGATCCTACGTTATGTCAGGAGAGTCTGGCTCATCCAGTTGCAGTTCTTTTCGCATTGATCCTTCTATCTCTGCTGCCAAAGAGTCCTATCAAAAACAAACAAATTCTTGTCATATCATGAAATTAATATTCCCAAAATTTAGTAAGATTTCTAGCAAGAAAAGAAGTTCTAAAATTAAAAACAGATTTCAGTGTTGGGAGACTAATCAAAAAATCTGAATGGCCGATGTAATAACAAATAATAATAACTATTTTGTACTTCTATAGTGCCAGCCATCGGATGAGTGCTTTACAAACATTATTGCAAATGGCATCACAACACCCCTGCAAGGTAGAGAAGATGAGATGAGGAAATGGAGGTACAGAGAGGTTAAGTGACTTGCTCAAAGATGCCAAGAAAATGTATGTGTACAGGTGATAACAGAACCTACATCTCCTGATTTTCAGACCTGTATTTCTGACAAAAAATTATGCTTCCCTTCATGTACAAGTCATTACATATTTAAGAATAGAGTGGGTGGGTTTTCCCCTCACTTTTTCTTTCACACATTAAAACTAGAATATATTCATAGGTTTTCTTTCTTTAATGTACTGCTTATAAAATTGTAATGGCTACCTTGGCACAATATGTTTCCAAGGTTATTAGTGTCTCAGCAGTGTTTAAAAACTCTGGGCTGCATTTTGGGCCATTAAGTCTTTATAGCTGGACACTAATCCCCTAAAATGGACCAACATTTTATTATTGCTTAGTTAAACACTAGTAAGTCCCCACATCCATTAAATGCTTAACAACCAACATCCTAAGTGACTTTCTTTTTCCTGACTAATTAATCATTTGGAAAAAAAAAATTGTAACAAAGTATATAACTCCTTCTTGCTCTTGCATTTCACAAGCAGCTATACGTGTACAATAACCATCCGTACTTGAGGAGACCCGGATCTTAAATGTATTTTAAACTGGCCCATACTTGATATTAAAAAGGGAATGTAAAAAAAGCAAGCTCTAAACTTTACTGGGGATCTACTATATGTGTATGAAGATGCTCTAGTCACAAGAAGTTGTTTATTGCTCTCTCTCAATAGTGGGAAATGGAGAAACAGTGAGAAATGGAGAAAATGACAGAGCGCCAGATTCTGCTGCTAAGTTACACTGGTGTAACTAACACATCAACACATCTTCACTGCAGTCACTCGGTAAATCTGTGCTACTGTCATCAGTGGGATTACTTCAGAGATCCATACCAGTGTAACAGGGCAAAATTGCTCTGGAAAAGTTTTATGGAGTGTTTTTCATTATTTGTATTGCAGTAGTGCTTTGAGGTTTCATGCTGATCATAAACCCAATACACTGGGCACTGTACACGCACATTTAAACATCTTCTCACCATGGGGAAGAGGCCTAGCGAGTGATAGCGACGTGATATGGCATTCGGCATGGTCTTGTTCCGAAGGTTCTTCAGCTCCTCCTGCGCCTCATGAAGCATTTCCATGCACTCTGCATACTTGTCTTCCAGCTCCCGCAACTGTAACAAGCATAGTCAGAAAGATTCCAACACACTGTGGGCAGCACAATTGCCCTGCAAGTGCCACAATTACTTTAATTACTGGGGGTGGGGAAACTGTTTAAAAAGAGAAAAAATGCTGTATTTACACGTAAATTGCAATAACTAGATATTATTATATGTGCATATGGAATGCGCATGCAACAAGTATAGCACCTAGAATGGAAAAAACTATAAGAGATAAAGAACATTTTAATGAGATTTTTAGTGTTCTAAAGTATTTAGATAAAATCTTAAATCAAGGCCATCCTAAGACAGTTTTCCATAACTACTTATATTATATGTTAATCTAATATTTAAATAGTGTCCTTTAGCATAACGTGTGTGTGAGAGTGAGAGAGAGAGAGAATGTAGTGCCCATGAGAGGTAACTGATGGACAATTTTGGATTGTCCTTTGTGAGTACAGTAAATGCAAATTTCCCCACGTTGTCCCTCACTCTGCTAATAGGCCTAACCCATAATATAAAACCAACCATGACAGGTACAGAAGGTAGTTATACCTCCTATCCTATTTCAATCCTTGTTTTCCCAAGACGGCCAACAAGATCGCCATTTCATGTCAATTTTGTGTGCTTGGGGGCACACTTGTACACATGAGTATGGGAACAGGGACCTGTCTGAGAGGAATGCACTGGGGCATCGAGAAATGGACTGGGACCAAGAACTCATTTCACATAGACCATTCATGAGGTGCCAACAGCTTTTTTTGTTATTAACAGTCTTGGTTGGATTAAACTAGTAATTTAGAAGTGAAAAGCTGCTGTTCTATTACCAAATCACTCTAGTATTTTACTTCTTGATACTTACTTCTGCCGTGAGCTGACGCTGGGCATCTTTAGCTGCTCCCAAATGCTGGACAAGTTCTTCATTTTCGACTGCACACTAAAATACACCAAACAATGGTAGACACACTAATACGATTACATAGTTTTTTTTCCACGACAGCTGTTAATTATGTGAATAGTGAAATTCTCCCACCCTCCTCCCTGCAGGACATTTATATTATATATGTATCCGCATTGGCTAAAAGGTCATGAGACTGCATCTAGTATTAAAATATTTCTCTCCAAATTCACATCTAGGCCCTGGAAATCAATGGATATCTTCTATCTGAAACAGCTGTGGTGAAATCCTACCCTGCTGAAATCAATGTCAGAATATCACCTCTAATTACTCAAGATGAATTTAACCATTGTTTTTGATGCATTATATTTAATATGAAATGGGAAAAAATCAGGTATCCATATCTTCCTTAAGAAAAACCTTAAAGGCAGGTCTGCTTTTTACATTAAAAAATGACCTCACAAAAGATTTAAGTCAAACAAGACTGTCACATATGGGAGAGTAAGGAAAAGTTCCTGAGGGGTGTAATAAACATTATTGCTTACAGATTTTGCCTTTTTCTGCAGATCAACTATCTGAGAAAGGAGATGGGTGATCTCTTCCTGCTGCCGGGCAGCATCTTCAGTTTTCTTTGCTAACTCCTCCGAGATACTGGAAATCTGGATGTTTGCATCCCCTTTTAACAAGAGAGAAGGGATCACAACTCAATGCCCACTGTCTATACAAAGAGGAACTTTATGCAGAATGTTGCTTAATTCAGTAGAACCTTTTTCCAAAGCACAGAAAGATACTTCCTCAAAGAGACATTAATAAATAAAATAAAATAAAATAAAATAAAATAAAATAAAATAAAAATAGAGAACCGATGCCGCAACGTGGGCTGTATACTTGCTAACAAGATTTCCTATTGTGGACAAAATTGCCATCTTGCAAATACAGTGAAGATGGTGCGCCAAGACTGCATATTAAACTGTGATAGAAACAGTAAAGTTGAATGGTAAAATTCACCGTAAAATTGTTTGCACATTGAAATGCACTGAAAATTCGAAACTTTCATTCTGTTTCACTGTAACTGGGTTTCACTGTAATATTAAGACATGTTAAAGAGCCAGGACAAACCTATCTTTCCCAAGAACAGAAAGATGGGTACATTAGCTTAAATTGCAGCAAAAGAGATTTAGGCCAGACATTAGGAAGAACTTCCTAACTGTCAGGGTTGTTAAGCACTGGAACAAATTACCTAGAGAGGTTATGGAATCTCCATTATTGGAGCTTTTTAAGAACAGGTTAGACAAACACCTGCCTGGTAAGTTCCAGATAGTACTTAGTCCTGCCTTAGTGCAAGGCACTGAACTACATGACCTATTGAGTCCCATCCCATTCTACATTTCTAAGCTAGAGCATTTTTTTAGTATCTTGCAATGGAAATTAATGCAAAATTTTGCTTTATGTCTATCAATAATTTCATGGCTACTTTCCTACTAACTATGTAGTAAATGAGATCTAGTTCAACTTAATACAAGAAGTTTTAGAAGTCTGAAAATAGTTTCATTTCATGCATAAACTTGAGATCCTAATGGTTTAACTCCTGCTGTGTTTTAAATTCTTTTGAGCCTGATGCTTCAACTGATAGAAAAGTAAGAACATATTTAGAGAAGATAGTTCTGTAACACTGGAAGATCCAAACTTTGCCAGTGGGGACCACACTGTCAGCCTTCCAGAAGCCTGAAGGCTGCACTTAATTTAAATTAAATGGAACAACATTTAGGTGTGGCCCAGAGAAACTGCAAGTCCCAGCAGACACTGCTCCACCAAGTTCAAGCAGCTACTGTAGAACTGAATGACCTGCACTTTTGCTACCTCTGCATATATCATAATAAAGCTGAACTGGTATTTTTGTGTTAACCACACGGATGAAATGTTAATGTATTTACCTAGCCTCCCTCACTAAAGAAGAAGAAAAGGATCTTCAAATTAAAAATGTTATGCACATTCTCTTTAAGCCTAAATTGTCTGATGTGCATTGGTACCTAATAAGTACGACTGGAAAGATGAGATTTTTATGAGTAAATGTCCATTTCACTGTACACATACAAACCAATGAAAAAATATTTCCATCAGTGATAATCTAAATTTACAGACAGGCAAAGAAAAAAAATGCTGCTTAAGAATCAGAATCCAATGATTTTTACTTTTGAATTATGCTGGTTACAAATGGACTAGTCAATGAATAGCAAAAACAGGTCTGATTTGTTGATTTAATTGTATTTACTTTTTATATTTTGACGTGATGTTGACAGTTTGTGTTTAATAGTTCATAAAGCTTTAATTTTTTTTATTCTCAATGTCATTAAATAATTGTCTGACTCTCCCATATTTACTCCCAACTCTGAACATTTAAATAAAAACCCCAAAACTTAAAACCCATAATTTCACACAACAGTGAAAATTTAAAATGGATAAAATGCTTAAAAGTAAACATTGATGTTATCAATATTATCCACTGAAACTATATAAAAAAAAATCAAATTCTGCCAAGCCTACTAATAAATCATCTGAAAGTTTCCATCTCTTTCAATGCCTGATCATTATGTCTTCATTGATGACCCATATGGATACTGTAGATATATTCTAATGTTACATTTTAGTTCAAGGACTTGTACTTTAAGCTGAATTATCTTGATATTAAATGTGGTCTTAAGTGATATAATTCCAATATGAAATGTAAAACTGACCGTCTGAAAGATGCCTCTGCCTTTCTCACACATTATTTCATAAATTAAAGGTACAAAAGTGACAAGAGTGCAGGGACTTTTTAGTCTTTTGTTTCTCTTCCCATGAGCAGTCTTAGAAGAGAGACAGATAATACTTGTAAGGAAATGAAGAAGGACCACACAGTAAATTACTCTTTTAAATGACTCATTTGTGAATTTACAGCTCAATCTAAATGTCCCTGAACACAATAATTACAGAGACAGGGGTGGGTGAGGTAATATCTTTTACAGGACCCACTTCTGTTGGTGATAAGAGGCAAGCTTTTGAGCTACACTGGGCTGTTCCTTAGATCTGGGAAAGGCATCCAGAGTGTCACAGCTAAATACAAAAATAGTGCCTTTTTCAAACCTGAGAAAGAGCTTTGTGTAGCTCAAAATCTTGCCTCGTATCACCAACAGAAGTGGGTCCAATAAAAGATATGACCTCACTCACCTTGTCTCTCTAGTATCCTAGGACCGACATGGCTACAACAACACTGAGCACAAAGTCAGGGGAAAAGGAGGGGGAATAAAGGACATACTCAGCTCTTTCACACAGTCATTTACAAGCTGCTGTTCTTTCTCTTCGTAAGTAATTGTTTCAGTCTTCAGCTGACAGGCCTGTTAAAAAGGTCCACATCAAAATATGGCACATTAGCATCTTGGTTGTTTTCTAATCTGCTGTAGTGTTTCCCTTTGCTTCAAAAAAGCAAATCCTTTTTTTCAAATTGCAATTCCAGGAAGACAGCAAGAAAATCCCCACGCCCCCGGTCTCCCCTCAATCTCTAAAAAAAAAGAAGGGGCCAAATGAACATTCAGCATCCACAGATTTGATGCAGAAATTTGCACCCACTAGGTGTCACTATTCTAACAGGAATGAAGATGACCGTAACCACATGCATAGAGTGCACAATGTATAAATTGATCACCTGAACAGATACGTTTTGAGATCTCTAAAATAGATGAAGATATTACATGTTTAAATTAAACACTACATTTTACATTTCATCAAAAGCACTGAATACGCAATTGGACTTAAGTGTAAAGTGTTCTTTTATAATCCCTGAAGCCAGAAGACTTTCACTTCCAGCTCCACCTTAATTACCCTCACAATACCCACATAACATAATATTTACACTACTTATCTTCCCTGAGTGTTTTCATAATAAAGGTGAAGTAGACAGCACTTTGATCAAAACATATTTTATAAAAACATGACTTACATTTGTAATGGAAAGTTAATGAATTTGTGAATCTCAGAATGGTATTTCGTCTAAACTCCAATGAGAGTTTGCAAATTATAACATACCCCCAAATATTGTAAGTTCAAAAACTGAATTGAAAAATCACAAATGTAATTACTTATCTGCTACATGGCCGTCACAGTAAACATATATTAACTCTGACGGACTCCATCAACCCACAAACATGTTTTTTATTCTTTTGAACAGTGCCAAGATAAAAGGAAAAATATGAATCCACAAAAAAACAATGTTAAAATAATGTTAAAGACCTGACTTGAAACTCACAAATTAAGGCCATTTAGAGTTTAAGCTAATACTTAAATATAGAGAGAGGCAGTAAGTAAGACATTTGTGCCTATTGCTAACACTGGTATGGGTTAAGGACCTATGCCAACCTGCGGGTTCAGAAATACAGCAAGGGTCAGTCATGTTCCAACATCTTTTTTGTTTTTAGTGTGCATGAACCTCTCAGGTTTTAGGCTATAATACTGTCCCCTGACAGTTATAGAACTATGTTGTCTCTTCCACATGAAGCCTTTGCTCTGAATTTCCTGAAATTTATACGTTTCAGTTGCACTCCTAACACTACTTTAAGATCAAAATTGGTGATTTGATATATTACAAGGGGATATGTTATGTAAGATAGCCCTCCCCTGTGAGGGTTTCCATTAAAAATATTTATTTAACAATCATCATCAGACCACTGGTTTTGAAAGGGAGAGGGAAGCAGGGCTGCAAGTGTTAAAAACGAAGTATACAAGGGAGTGATTTTCACCTCTGATCTAAGCACAACATTCTCCTCTTCCAGGTCCTTGAGTTTCTTTTGAAGAGAATCCAAGTGAAAATAGTTCTGGACGGAGGAGGAAGACTCATTCCTCTTCAACCTGGTAACATAACTATTAACATTTATTTTAGGCCCATTTTACTTGAAACCTGGGAAATGACAAATGGGAAAAGGCTTAACAGAGGTTGCATAACAGCCAGAGCTGTGTGGAATTAAACCTTTTCACTTTAAGTTATTTGTGACAACACGCATTTTCATCTAATTTTAAAAGCGTACATGACAATTTTCCTCATTCCTCCCACTTCCTGTGGGAAAGTTATTCATCCACAGATATTAGGAAGAAAGCAACCTTCACATGCAGACTTACAAAAAATATACAATAGCTTCATGAATCATATTGCACATGCTCCACCGGAATGCTGCAATAACTCTGCAGACAAGTGGACAAGTTGCCATCAAAGTCTGCCATACCGGGGCATACTGCATCAACCTCAAAGTCTGCCATACTGCTCTGACAGCTAACGGTCTGGAAAAGACTGTAATCCATGTGTTATCTCCTCTCTCTGCTGTCAAATAGCGCACAATATTTTAGGAATGCCTCAAGTCTCTGCCAGTCAAAACAATGTGAGTTTGGAAGTTAGCCTTTCATCACTCGGCCAGATTCTCCCCTGCAGACAGAAAGATGGTACTGTGGGGAGGTACATGTCAGGTGGCTCACTGATCCTGTGAGGTGGTCTGTGACAACCCCAATGTGAGTTAGAGTAGCCTATGGTGTCATATGCCACTGTCCTCCTTTTTCCTTCCCTCCCCACATTGGAATCAGTCCAGTTGCTTCAATACAAAATGTGCGGCACAAGTTGGAGGTTTAAGTTATTAATGTAACTTCATTCCATTCAGGATTAATTTTGCCACCACCATCAAGGGTATCAACACGGCTCAAACTTCCTGCTAGTCTCCCTGAATGTTCAGATTCAGAAAAAGTGAACTGATCTGATAACTTACGGTGTTGAGCAGATGGACTCTGGCTCACTTTCCTCAGCAGCACTGGTATAAAACTGAAGCAGCTCATCCTTCATGGACAGTTCATGGCGCAACTGAGAAACCTGAGCAAAAAAGAGCGTAAATCTATCACTTCCCTTCCAAGCACATTAATATTTTTAATAATTAAATCAATTTGTTTTTCATCTTTCATATGTTTCCTTCAGACTAGTCAAGAGCCCACTGTACCACTCTGACAAATGGACTGGAAACAATTCTTTAACTTCTTGACAGGTTTCAAAGCGGTAGCCATGTTAGTCTGTATCAGCAAAAAAACCGAGGAGTACTTGTGGCACCTTAGAGACTAACAAATTTATCTGGGCATAAGCTTCCGTGAGCTAAAACCCACTTCATTGGATGCATGCAGTGGAAAATACAGTAGGAAGATTTTATATATATATATATATATATATATATAACACACACACACACACACAGAGAACGTGAAAAAATGGGTGTTGCCATACACACTGTAATGAGATTAATCAATTAAGGTGGGCTATTATCAACAGGAGAAAAAAAAACTTTTCTAGTGATAATCAGGATGGCCCATTTCAAACAGTTGACAAGAAGGTGTGAGTAACAGTAGGGGAAAAAATTAGCATGGTGAAATAGTTTTTACTTTGTGTAATGACCCATCCACTCCCAGTCTTTATTCAAGTCTAATTTAATGGTGTCCAGTTTGCAAATTAATTAATGATACACCCATTTTTTCACGTTCTCTGTGTATATGTATCTTCCTACTGTATTTTCCACTGCATGCATCCGATGAAGTGGGTTTTACCCCACGAAAGCTTATGCCTGAATAAATTTGTTAGTCTCTAAGGTGCCACAAGTACTCCTCTTTTTTTTTCAACTTCTTGAAAAATCTTTAAACAGTCATTTGATTTTTTTCGTCTTTCTTTTTAAAGAAAGCAAGAATCCAATTACCCACTGCTATTAAAGGAAACAAGAGAAGGAAATGGTCTGTCTCATTTCATTCCATGACCCTGATTCACCATCCCAGGTTTACACCAGCATAACTCCATTGATTTCAATGGAGTAAAGCAGTGGTAAATCAGGCCTAGCATTTCTTTTCATCTGCATTTGACACAATGATTATAACCATCTCACTTGGACAAGGTCCCGGCCACCATTATCATCCCTGCCTTTGTGATTTTCAGACTGGATTATCATAATTCTCTTCAGATAGGGTAACCTTTGGACACCACTCTAAAGTTTTAGTTGGTGCAGAATGTAGCAGATCCACTGTTCAGTAGGTTTTGCCATAGGGTGCACATTACATGAATCCTACATAGACTGCAGAGAACTATTAGCTTCTGAATGCACTTTGACTCTGAAAAGTGATTCTACAGAAGTGGTATCATGGAATCCCATGTTTATTATATCTTACTCTGTATCAAATGTGCTCATTTTAGGAATGAAAAGGTGCCGTTTTTTCTCCCTAATTGCCAGCTCTGCAGAATCAATCTAAAGTCCAAAACCCATTTTATAAATCCTCACTCACGTGAGAGGTCCACTAACCATGAGCAACAGTTTGCAGGATGAAGCCCATTATTTCTCCTACACTGTAGGACTCTAAATATTTATTAACATGAAAACATCAATTCAAAATGAAGACAACTAATTACATCACATATTTTATTCATTAACTAGATAGAGATCATCTTATCTTTCATATGTTACCTTCTGCTCTAATGGATTAAAAGTTTTTTATTTCAGAGTAGCATTTTCCCCCTTCTGACTGTAACAGAGGAAATGAAAACTAGCTCTGATGAAAAACAGCCTGGAAAGGCTTTAAAATGAGTATGGTGGGCTCAACCCACCAAACACTGAGCTTTAAACAAACATCAAACACTAACTCAGGTGCGATATCTAGCAATTAACATGAAGATTACAAAGCTCTACTGTTTAAGAGTGACCATAAACTGCTGGTCCCTGGGCTGACAGTCTCTGCGGAGGATGAGCTAGCTAGCACTGCATTAGCTGCTGCAGGAGCACAGAACAGAGATGACTAGAAGAGGAAAGAAGTTTAGGGTTAAATAAAGTAAATAGAATAACCCAGAATAACTAGGAAGAGCAAAAACCCAACAATCTCCTTCCACTCTAACCTAGACTGACAGTTCACTTTACTCTGGCTCTTAGATCAGATTTCAAAGCAGACAGGATTAGGTTGTACATGCTAATGTCATATTTCAGCAAAAGGACAGAAATTTTGATCTTGGAGCTGCAGCATCCTTAACTTTTAAACATTGCAACACAGCACTGGGTGGGCAGGCTTTACTTGGGAAGCTACTCTCATTTGTGCTACCTAAAGGTTGAACAGTTATTTCTGCAGTCAAAGCAATTTATAATCAAGAGAATTTTCCCAATACAACATTGAAGACTTTAGTAAAATACTTCCAAAACAGCAGGTACCTGGTGACTAAAGTGCACCAACATACAGTACAGCATTTGCTTCAGTGCACTCACCTTTTGTTCTCTAGTGCCAAACAGTAGGTCTGAGTCTCAGTTTTCATAATTTAGTACTACTGGAAAGAGTTGTACAGGGTAGAAATTAGAAGCAATTAGATAAGACTGGGGAGGGAAGGGCTCTGTCCTCTTGACAGAAGGAAAAATGAAATTCAAACTGTTTTGAAGTGATCACACAAAAGCAGCTTGTTGCAGATGAAGGAGACATTGGTATTTAAGAAGAGCAAAGTAAGAGACAATATAAAGAGAAAAACTGGTCTGAAACGTGGTTTAAAGTCACACTTTTCATCAGAACATGATCAGAGTCTATTCCTCACAATGATATTTAGGTTTGAAAATGTAAAATCTAGATGTTAATGTGAGGTAACACGTGTATCAAATGAAGAGTCATGGAATAAACTGATACATGATAGTGTGGCATAAAGACTTTATTAGCATGAATATGGAATGGCTGCACTACTCATGATTAAAGAAGCCATGGCTGAGTTACACAGGTCATCCCATACACGTGCCAATAAAATCTATATATCATGCTCCACCATCAGGTATGTTGCATGTGTCACATGCTGCACTATTTTAGGAATGTTTTAGAGAGTTAAAAAGAAAATTATAGGGACTATATATTGTATCCCTCTGGCTGCAAAGTCAGTTGCCTTAGTTATCGTGACTACCAACTGAACAGGACTCAGAGGAAATCTCAAAACCTGCTAAAACTAACCTCCGATTTTCTACACACAAGTGTGATGACTTTAACCCCTAATATCATGTGCTAACAGCAAGTTGTTAGTTGCACTGGGAAGCTGGCAATTTCCTAGATGAATCATGACATTCTTTGTTTAAGAAAGCTGTTAATAACGCAGCCAAACTGGCAATGCTGTCAAAAGGTGAGTGAGTATTTAATTTGTCACCTGCCTTGGAATTTCTCCCATTGAGATCACCTCCATATATTGGGTGTATTTCCATCCATCATGCACCTGTGACTGCCTCACCCACAACTTGCTCGTTATACCATTGCTCAGATTTACCCTAACATCATGAATTCCAGAGAAGCTTCCGCAAACCACCGTTTTCTAAAAACCAACCTGTTTTCAACCCCTCCCACCAACTGTGGAATTTCTCAACCTTTCTTAATCTTCCCCCAAGAAGTGCACCCTCAAGAGGCCCAGGATGGGCAGGATTCAGCTCAAGGTCACCAAGTGTTTCTAGGAGGGATCCAGCACTCACTTTTAGCTCTTCAAGGCAGCAAGCTAACAGACATTACGTTGTGACATTTTTAGTTAATCTGGCTCTCTACTCAGGGAGATACAATAAATAATCCTGATGATAATTTTCAATGTTTCTCAAAGACATTTATAGTACCACATATGTAGCACATACAATATACATTATAGTGTTCTGTGGTGTTTTTATTTGTTTTTCTAAATCAGTACTCATTTGGGATGACCTGCACCATGTCATCCTATACACAGATACACAATATATATACAAAAAACCTACCGCATTACTATTGTTATCCAAAATTGTAATATACACACACATACAGATCACAAAAACCTTCATGCATACACACACACACCATCAGATTCTTCCATATTTTACTGAAAAATAGCAAAACCACTGCACCATAAGCCAGAAGGTTTTAACAAATCTAGATGGGAGATACTAAGTCCCAGACCATTAGTTCTGTTTAATATCTATTTCTTTAAACCAACAAGTCACTTCGCTGCTTTCTGAAGCAGACCATATGCTGAAGCAGCATCATTCATCATGACATAGAACCCACACAGTAATTTATCCTGAGCCACCCAAGCATCTGATGGATATGAAGCTGGGTATGTTAAAGAGGCATGATACCAGAGGGGCACAGGAAGTACAATGCACATGACTTCAGTGATCATGGATCACAAAAATCTCACTTTATATGATTACACCTTAAATAGAGTGGCATGATGTTCATGCTCATCTGCAGTAGGGGAGCATGTTCAGCATTTAAGTGATTTTATTTAAAAACCAAAACTGAAATCAGCTTGAAGACAGAAAACAAGTTGGGGGTGGGGGAATGAAAAACAAATCTCTTACAGGTGGGAAAGGAGAGAAACAAACCAAGAAGTGAGAATCATTGAGCTACGTGGGGAGAAGAAACAAAAGGGAAAAAGCTGAAGGCTGTGGAAAGACAAGTGCAAGCAATGAACCCGGGTAAAAAGGGAGCTAGAGACGTGGAAGGAGAGATAAGTGAGAGAGAGATATTAGAAAGAAAGAGGGGGGGAGGAAATGTAGGGAAAGGAGGGGAATATGGTCAAAATGGGGTTTGAGGAAAACGTGCCCGGGGGGGGGGGGGGGGGGAGGGGAAGAAGGGGATGAAGCAAAATAAAATAGGGACAAATATGTTTAAGAAAAGAATTCGGCCTGAGGTGGAGCAAAATCTAATGGCCCATAGTTTTCTTAAAATTTCCCTTTTTTTGAGCTCTGTAGGCCAAATGATTTCATCAGTCATATTTGTAGAATGAACTTTGCACAATATCCTACAAGAATCACTATCGTTCAGATTGGCATCCTATACACAAGTCATCAGAAAGTTAACTACACACAAGCTAAAGCTAGAAGCAAGAGTTTTTCTGGACCCACAGCATCATTATGTGTCGAGACAGTACAAGTGTGTATGACCTTACCTCTTCCCTGATATGCTCTACTTGTTCCTCAAGGAATTCATTTCTCTCGGTTAGTGATTTATTCTTCTTTAACAATGACTGGCCAATTCGAGCAGCTAATTCTAAATCCCGCTCTTTCTGTAAAAGGAAAGAAAAGAACATTGATTTCCAATGCTTTTGTTCACTTAGAAAATAACTGGTTCTCCCATGTCAAAAAAGGTTAAATCTGTGCTAGACAAAAGGGAAGAATGAATATTCTTCAAAAACAAAGAAACCAACAATTTTTGCTCATTTTCTTGTCCTATTCCTGCTTAGACTACACCTACATAATCCAGAAAAATTGACATGTACAGTTAATGAACCATACAAATGAAAGCATAACCTTGCTGTCTAATGTAAAAATGTTAATTGAAGCAAATCTAATTCCAGCTCTTTTATTCTATTTGAAAAATTACTGTCACTAACCACTCAATTTTCTCTTTGCACTTTTTGTAGAGAGCTTGTAGGCAGCTTACAGATTATATTTTAAGAGCTTCAAAAGCACAGCAAAGCACAGATATAAGCAGACAGAATACACTTGGATATGTTAATGTGCTTCTCAGTGTCTCCTCTGCTCCACTTGAAAACAAATTCCAGTAAGTGTAAAATTTATGCAGCAGCTGTAAATGTGCATTATACTATCTTTTGATAGCTTCAGAAAGAGAGGTGACTATGTTAAAGTCAGTAGGCCAAACTATAGCTTTAAGTCACTGCCTCCTGCACTCAGATAGGGACACAGGTGGAATACTTAGAGGGAGTTGATCCAGCCAACATGCCTGTGGGAGCTCTGAAGGAACTCCTGGAGATGTTGAGATGAACGAACTCAGCCATACCACCTTTTGAAAGGGTGCAATGTGCATTACCATCTCCCTGGATTGGGCCAGCTCTGTTAGCATGCCCTTCCCTGCCCCTCCCCAGGGCTGGCTAGCCCATCAGTCACACAAGTCTAAAGACATCCTGCTTCCTCCATCCAAATGCCCAAGGTAACAGGAAGAGATTCTCTACGCCCTCTCCTCCCTTGCTCACGCACACAGGACCAACCCTACCCTGTGTGGACAGTAAGCCACGCTAAATATACTACAGACTGGGGACCTGATCCTGCTAACGCACATGCCTAACATTAAACACAAGTGGTCCCAATTGATGTAAAACACATGCCCAAGTATTACCAGGACCAAGGCATTAGACAGTGAGCCCTTTTGGACAGGGCAATGAATTTAGGGTCTCTCAACTTTGCAGCACTTATTATATGATTTTGAATTAGCAAGATGCATTTTTACTGTGTTATATTTGCAAAAGTCTACATGCATTAATGGTGCAAATTTCCTGGTATATCCTTCTCTCCTCTTGTTCAGTTCCTTCCTCTTATTCCTTTCAGTTTATTTGCTAAAAGTAGCTATTATGTGCTTGTTTATTTTGACTGACAACTGTTGCACTCATTATTACTAAAATTTATTGACTATAATATGGATGATAAAGACAAAGTCTATCAAAAGAAGCTAGTGATTCATTGTCAGTGACGTGGGTTCACAATAATTTCATGTATTTCAAGTGCCTCCATGCAATAGAAGAGTAGAAAAGTAGATAGCAATTACCAGTACTGATATAATTCTTAAATAATTTAAGATAGGTTTTTGATAGTTTGCAAATCTGGTAGTGCTGTCTCTAAGTGATTTCCAATATGTCAAGCTCAGTCTACTTTTGCATTAGAAACCAAGGACCCTATCCAGCCAAAATTATGCATGGACTTCCAGACCATGAAAGTTCCAGAAGGCCATAGAAAATATGCTAATGGTGTGTAATAGGCCAACATACCCAGCTGGCCCACTGCACAAGGTCAAAATGAAAAAGAAAAATATTTGCAGAAGAGAGGAAGGAAGGCCCAGTGGATCCCCTGCCCAAGCCTGAACATCTACATGGCCATTAAACAGCCCCTTAAGCCTAAGCCACCTGGCATGGGTCAGCCATGGGTTTTTAATAGCAGTGTGCACATACCTTTGGATCTCAATTTGGGACTATGGAGATAATAGCACTTCCCTACCTCATAGGAGTGAGGATAAATACATTAAAGATTGTGAAGTGCTTAGATACTGTGACTTGTAAGATCAAATTTGAGGGGTCCCTCCTTACTATCACCATTTGGGGGAGAGGAGTGTATGCCCACACATGTACGTATGAGAAAAATAAATTTAACATGAAAATTTGGCTCAATGAGCCTCATATATTCTCTCACTGTGCAACACTAGTGAATTTAGCAAAAGATGCACCATTGTCAGGTCACATGGCCTCTTTAACAGCCAGACAGGGAAGAAAGAACTCCCTCTGCTCTAGACTGTTGGTTCAGTGCATCCCACACTGTTCCCAGGGGCTAGACTGCTACAGCTCTATAGAAATCAAGCTCAGGGAGGAGACAGGCTTGGGCAAATGCAAAATGTCCAGCTCTGCCACTACTAGAAGGGGTGATGGAAGGAACTACCACCTCAGAACAGCCAACAGTCACACAAATGATTTTGTGTTGGCTACAGCTCTATGTAAATAAACAACCACCACGTGCCTCTGGGGCTATGAGAGAATTTAAGAAATTTTCATATTCAAAGAAAACCACAGGATATTTGTAAGTTTCCAGATGGATATAATACCTGCTTACAAAACCATGCAAATGAATCTAAGCAAATGAAGAAGCAAAAGTAGCATGACCTGAATGCATAATACAAGGGTAAATAGAAGAGTTATCAGTGGCGTGCTACAGATATAATAATTCTAAGTGAAGTATCTGGGGTTTATCATGAATAGTACATAGGAAACTGTTTTTAAAGATTTCAGTTGAAAGCATAACCAAAGACCTCAATTCTACAACCAAGATACACTAATCCAGGCCCTTGTGCTCATGCTAATCCCTTTGCAGCTTCGCAGTCAAAGAATGCACCAGTTCAGGTACTTTGGGTTAGCACTGCATGAAACGGGTCTGCTGTACTAAGAGAGCTTTGTAGTGCGAAATAAATGCAGCACTACCACAATATGAAGCAGACCAAAATACAAAAGGTTTAAGTTCTAAACCAGGGATCGGCAACCTTTGGCATGCAGCCCGCCAGGGTAAGCCCTCTGGCAGGCCGGGCCGGTTTGTTTACCTGCCGCATCTGCAGGTTCGGCCGATCGCAGCTCCCACTGGGCACGGTTTGCTGCTCCAGGCCAATGGGGGCTGCGGGAAGCGGTGGCCAGCACATCCCTCGGCCTGCGCCACTTCCCGCAGCCCCCATTGGCCTGGAACGGTGAACCGCGGCCAGTGGGAACCGCGATTGGCCGAACCTGTGGATGCGGCAAGTAAACAAACCGGCCTGACCTGCCGGGGGCTTACCCTGGCGGGCCACGTGGGCACCAATGATACTGCCAAGAATGACCTTGAGCGGATCACTGCGGACTATGTGGCTCTAGGAAGAAGGATAAAGGAGTTGGAGGCGCAAGTGGTGTTCTCGTCCATCCTCCCCGTGGAAGGAAAAGGCCTAGGTAGGGAGCGTCGAATCGTGGAAGTCAACGAATGGCTACGCAGGTGGTGTCGGAGAGAAGGCTTTGGATTCTTCGACCATGGGATGGTGTTCCAAGAAGGAGTGCTAGGCAGAGACGGGCTCCACTTAACGAAGAGAGGGAAGAGCATCTTCGCGAGCAGGCTGGCTAACCTAGTGAGGAGGGCTTTAAACTAGGTTCACCGGGGGAAGGAGACCAAAGCCCTGAGGTAAGTGGGAAAGCGGGATACCGGGAGGAAGCACAGGCAGGAATGTCTGTGAGGGGAGGGCTCCTGCCTCATACTGGGAATGAGGGGCGATCAACAGGTTATCTCAAGTGCTTATATACAAATGCACAAAGCCTTGGAAACAAGCAGGGAGAACTGGAGGTCCTGGTGATGTCAAAGAACTATGACGTGATCGGAATAACAGAGACTTGGTGGGATAACTCACATGACTGGAGTACTGTCATGGATGGTTATAAACTGTTCAGGAAGGACAGGCAGGGCAGAAAAGGTGGGGGAGTAGCACTGTATGTAAGGGAGCAGTATGACTGCTCAGAGCTCCGGTACGAAACTGCAGAAAAACCTGAGTGTCTCTGGATTAAGTTTAGAAGTGTGTGCAACAAGAGTGATGTAGTGGTGGGAGTCTGCTATAGACCACCGGACCAGGGGGATGAGGTAGATGAGGCTTTCTTCCGGCAGCTCACGGAAGCTACTGGATCGCATGCCCTGATTCTCATGGGTGACTTTAATTTTCCTGATATCTGCTGGGAGAGCAATACAGCGGTGCATAGACAATCCAGGAAGTTTTTGGAAAGCGTAGGGGACAATTTCCTGGCGCAAGTGCTAGAGGAGCCAACTAGGGGGGCGCTTTTCTTGACCTGCTGCTCACAAACCGGGTAGAATTAGTGGGGGAAGCAAAAGTGGATGGGAATCTGGGAGGCAGTGACCATGAGTTGGTTGAGTTCAGGATCCTGACACAGGGAAGAAAGGTAAGCAGCACGATACGGACCCTGGACTTCAGGAAAGCAGACTTCGACTCCCTCAGGGAATGGATGGCCAGGATCCCCTGGGGGACTAACTTGAAGGGGAAAGGAGTCCAGGAGAGCTGGCTGTATTTCAAGGAATCCCTGTTGAGGTTACAGGGACAAACCATCCCAATGAGTCGAAAGAATAGTAAATATGGCAGGCGACCAGCTTGGCTTAATGGTGAAATCTTAGCGGATCTTAAACATAAAAAAGAAGCTTACAAGAAGTGGAAGGTTGGACATATGACCAGGGAAGAGTATAAAAATATTGCTCGGGCATGTAGGAATGTTATCAGGAGGGCCAAATCGCACCTGGAGCTGCAGCTAGCCAGAGATGTCAAGAGTAACAAGAAGGGTTTCTTCAGGTATGTTGGCAACAAGAAGAAAGCCAAGGAATGTGTGGGCCCCTTACTGAATGAGGGAGGCAAACTAGTGACAGAGGATGTGGAAAAAGCTAATGTACTCAATGCTTTTTTTGCCTCTGTCTTCACTAACAAGGTCAGCTCCCAGACAGCTACGCTGGGCATCACAAAATGGGGAAGAGATGGAGAGCCCTCTGTGGAGATAGAGGTGGTTAGGGACTATTTAGAAAAGCTGGACGTGCACAAGTCCATGGGGCCGGACGAGTTGCATCCGAGAGTGCTGAAGGAACTGGCGGCTGTGATTGCAGAGCCATTGGCCATTATCTTTGAAAACTCGTGGCGAACCGGGGAAGTCCCGGATGACTGGAAAAAGGCTAATGTAGTGCCAATCTTTAAAAAGGGAAGGAGGAGGATCCTGGGAACTACAGGCCAGTCAGCCTCACTTCAGTCCCTGGAAAAATCATGGAGCAGGTCCTCAAAGAATCAATCCTGAAGCACTTGCATGAGAGGAAAGTGATCAGGAACAGCCAGCATGGATTCACCAAGGGAAGGTCATGCCTGACTAATCTAATCGCCTTCTATGATGAGATTACTGGTTCTGTGGATGAAGGGAAAGCAGTGGATGTATTGTTTCTTGACTTTAGCAAAGCTTTTGACACGGTCTCCCACAGTATTCTTGTCAGCAAGTTAAGGAAGTATGGGCTGGATGAATGCACTATAAGGTGGGTAGAAAGCTGGCTAGATTGTCGGGCTCAACGGGTAGTGATCAATGGCTCCATGTCTAGTTGGCAGCCGGTATCAAGTGGAGTGCCCCAAGGGTCGGTCCTGGGGCCGGTTTTGTTCAATATCTTCATAAATGATCTGGAGGATGGCGTGGATTGCACTCTCAGCAAATTTGCGGATGATACTAAACTGGGAGGAGTGGTAGATACGCTGGAGGGGAGGGATAGGATACAGAAGGACCTAGACAAATTGGAGGATTGGGCCAAAAGAAATCTGATGAGGTTCAATAAGGATAAGTGCAGGGTCCTGCACTTAGGACGGAAGAACCCAATGCACAGCTACAGACTAGGGACCGAATGGCTAGGCAGCAGTTCTGCGGAAAAGGACCTAGGGGTGACAGTGGACGAGAAGCTGGATATGAGTCAGCAGTGTGCCCTTGTTGCCAAGAAGGCCAATGGCATTTTGGGATGTATAAGTAGGGGCATAGCGAGCAGATCGAGGGACGTGATCGTTCCCCTCTATTCGACATTGGTGAGGCCTCATCTGGAGTACTGTGTCCAGTTTTGGGCCCCACACTTCAAGAAGGATGTGGATAAATTGGAGAGAGTCCAGCAAAGGGCAACAAAAATGATTAGGGGTCTGGAACACATGAGTTATGAGGAGAGGCTGAGGGAGCTGGGATTGTTTAGCCTGCAGAAGAGAAGAATGAGGGGGGATTTGATAGCTGCTTTCAACTACCTGAAAGGGGGTTCCAAAGAGGATGGCTCTAGACTGTTCTCAATGGTATCAGATGACAGAACGAGGAGTAATGGTCTCAAGCTGCAGTGGGGGAGGTTTAGATTGGATATTAGGAAAAACTTTTTCACTAAGAGGGTGGTGAAACACTGGAATGCGTTACCTAGGGAGGTGGTAGAATCTCCTTCCTTAGAGGTTTTTAAGGTCAGGCTTGACAAAGCCCTGGCTGGGATGATTTAACTGGGAATTGGTCCTGCTTCGAGCAGGGGGTTGGACTAGATGACCTTCTGGGGTCCCTTCCAACCCTTATATTCTATGATTCTATGATCCCTGTTCTAAACTGTCAAGAACAAAGACCGCATTGTTAGTCTTCATCTGAATAATGCCTTGCAAACATAATTTCCAAAAAATATTTGCTTACATTTACTTTAAAAATAGAGTTTGTTTTGATCAATTAATATTAAGTTATTAGGCTATTTAGTGAGTACAAAAATTTTATCCTGTAGGTCATTTTTTTCTCTCTGCTATTACATGAAATGTTTAGTCTCAATCACAATAAATTAATGACCATATATTATAGTGGCTTTATAAATATAAAGGCACCAGAATGCAAGAAAGAAGAACTTGGAGACAGGGCAGAAAAAAGTACATGGGAGAGAGGGAGATGTTTGTTTATCAATTGGTAACTATATATTTTCCTAAAGATTATAATCATGGAGATATCAATAATAAATATTATATATAATATAAATAATAAATAGACTTGCGAGCTTTATGCGCTTTTGTTTTTTAAACAAACCATTTATAATACTGTGCATATTTGGAAAACAAAAACAAAACAAAAATACACTCCCTCTCACTTCCCCTCCTCCTCCTCACAACATCATGATTTCATGTAAACCTTAACTTTTTTCCTCACATCATTCAGCATGGTATGTCACTTTTTGTATTCTGGCAATAGTGAGATAAATCTGCTTTAGCTATATATGAAATTGTTTGGTGAATTTGTACAAATTATGTAAACAAACTAAGCACCTTTTATTAATAAAGTCATGTCCCTTACCAATGAGATGTAGTGAATGTGCATTTAGAATATTTGTTTTCACCATGACTGAGAACAAATGGGGCAATTTCTATCAACACAGATTCTTTCATAATCTATATTATGTCTTTGTCATAAAGTGAACAGCTGTGTAAAAGAATACTTGCCTCTTCTAGAAGTCGTGTAACAGCATCTATGTCATTGTATGTTTTAGTCATCTGGCCCACTCTTTCAGCACATAAAACTGTTGGAATACAAGACATGTAAAGTCATTTTATCTGCCACTCAAACTAAACAAAATTAAGAATTACTTGAAAAAAATAAGAATCTTAAACCTTAATCGTAAAATTAATCTAAAATTATATCTGTTTACTGAATTATTTTAAGTTTTGGGAAAACATTAAGAACTATGAAAACAATGAATTTAACAAGAAAAAAATTTAATCTTTAGTGTTTCATATTGAACAGAGAAGATTGGCATTTCTGTTTTGTAGCAGGCATTTGCTTTTGTCAATTTTTTTTTCAGGTCCTGTATGTACTGTAATCGTAGGAATTTTAAAGGCCTTATGATCAATCTGAAGTGTTTTTAAAGTCCAAACATAATAAACTCTTCAACACTAAAACAAATTCAGAGCCTCAAACCTGGAATTTTCTGTGTAAAACAGTAAAATTTACTTTTGATTCAATGCAAATTGAAAAACATTTTTTTTAAAGGGGGAAGATGGAGTCACGACAAAATTATAAATTTCTCAAACCATTAAGACAGAATCAATGAACAAGTATGCTAAACTCAGTGCAAAAACATTTTAAGTAAAAACTAACAAAAAAAATGCAGAAACAAAGGCTCATTGTGTCACTTCTACATTGAGCCATGACTTACTCCATTAGTCCCTACTGGAGTAGAACCAACAGGACAGCTCATAGAAGATACTGCTCTGTGTGAGGTTGGCAAAACTGGGCTCTATCATACAAGACTGCATAGTGCATATAAAATATATACACAATTCTGCTTCTGAATGACCTAAATATAATAGCCCTTGTAATGTATCTGGTAACTAAAGCATGTCACAAAGACTGTAGTATTACTAGCTAAAGCAATGCGTAACTGAAATGGATGTGACACACTTAAATAAAACCAGTGTTATTACCCTGCTGAATAATTTGGGAACATTTTTGTCTGACTGCATGACTTTTTCTTGAAGGACACATAGTGACCTTGGCTGAGTCTCAGAGATATTGAGATTTCTAAACAGAACACAAATAAATTTGAAAAAATAAGATCAGCAGTTCCTGTTTTACTCGTATGCATCCTTCTTTTCCCTCCACCATTGTTTTTATGGCTTAAACATTCCATTCTGGAAAAAAGGGACTGTTAATAGAGAGTTATATTAGTTGGTTACATTGATTTCTGCAGAGGAGACTGCTGTAAGGCAACTTTCGTCACAAGTGGATTTATCTTTGACAGAGTTTCAATTACGGCTGATGCACAGTTTGGGTGAAGATGTTCTAAGGTGGTTAATTCAGTAGAAAGAAATCAAGTCCAAATTACTTAAAAATAATTGAATGCTGTGTGGTTAAACCTGACGCCACAGATTAGGTGACATACAACTGACAACAACTGCTACACACCAATGAATAAAAATAGTAGCTGATTAGGCATCCTGTTGCCTTACCAACCCAGAATGTCAAAGCGTTTTAGGACCAAAACCTGTAAATATTTATGTACATGCTTAGCTTTTTAGCCTTGCAAGCAATCCCAGTGAATTCCATAGGACTGCCTGCAGAAAGACTGCAGAATTAGGGATTTTAGTTTACACTACTCTAACCTAATTAAAAAGTTAGCAAGTGCTAACTAAAAGCTTATAGCCAGAAATTTACACCCCCAAAAACTGATTAGATAAGAGAATAAAAATGAAATACACAATGAATATATGCTATAGTGTAAACATAAACGTGCTGCATTTACAAACTACATGTTCACAGAAACTGTTTTCTGCCAAGAAATATTTTAACTTGCGAAAATCAGGAGCATAGAGGAAGCAGGAAACTGGAGTAATCATTGCACAGAGAATCTTTTCATGAAAACTTAACAGAAAGAAGAGAGATTTGCATTAACTACGTAACTTTAAAATGTCCATTCATAAAGAAGTTTAATGTAACCATAAAAACAAAAAGTTTCCCACACAATAATACATAAATCAACACCTAAAATGCCTACTGTAAATAATGACACAGACCAACATTTTATAATCCCAAATAACTGTTCACTAGAGTTTCCTTGGCTATAACTTTCCCTCAGCAATGTTGGTAAATTAATGTTTGGGATTGCCATTAGCAAACCCTAACACTGCCACCGTTTCTGACTAAGGCAACATGACACCACCCTAGTGACCGCAAAACTATAATCATCTTGGTAAAATCCAAACAAGTAGATAACAGTGTGGTGTTCCCATGGGCTGAGCAAGGTCATCTGATTGTGAGAAATGTTAACAAGGGCTGGTACGTGCAGTTGCTAACTCAACTATTTCTTCAGAACTTGCTAAGCAACCTTTATCAGCACATTCTGCTGTTAAGAAGCAATGTCAAGACAATCAAAGTCACACAATGCATGACTGAAACAGTCTTTTGCACACACAAATCAAAATCTATCATCTTCAATAAATGTTTTCACTTGCAGAGGGGGTATGAGTTTAACACCCAAAGACATGAGATAGTCAAAGTCCAACCTTCCCTTTGAATTTATACATACATAATATATAATTTTATACATGTATACATTTACATATATATATAACTTTCACAGCAGGCAATACGTTCCAGAAGCTACCACAATGGTCTTATAAAGAACACAGAATGTAAAAAGAAAAAAAATCAATCAAGAATAAACCTGATCACCAATGTCTTTATGGCCTCATTAAACATGAGCAACCATGAAAATTTAGATGAAGTCTCTGCTACATCGCTCTGGACAGTTTTAATGGCCTTCAAAGTGCAATTTGAGTTCTCTTAATAGCCAGTCTAAATGAAAATTCAGGCCCGAGACTCCAGTCAAAGACCCAACTTCCAAGGCCGCAACATTACCGTTTCAGTTAAGCCCCTTCCAAAACCTCACACCCAGCTAAACCACTACGGAGGATAAACCAAAGCCTTTACAGAAATATTGACTAAAACAATAGATTTAACAAGGATTGCTGCTCTGGACAGGAAAATTGACTTTGTATATAACAGCAATGTATCAAATGTACTGATACCCTTCAATGGAGTGGAGACTACAGTCACAAAAGCTAAAGAAATTGGTATCAACATAGAGGGGAGGAACATTAGAGGATTAATATAAAACTCACTGCTTCAACAAGAGAAAAAGACCAAAGCCATGAATCAAATACAAACAGAAGCCTGATGGGAACAGAAAAAGATATTTTGATTACACAAACTTCTCCTGACTTTATGCTTTAGCCAATGAGATATGTAAATTAAAAAGTATATTGCCTTAATGAATATGGTTTCTGGCATGTACCAGTTCCTGGTGAACACTAGCCTTCTAACACTATTCTAACCACATGGAAAGGGCAAATGAAGGACAGTGCACTGTAGTATAAAACTCACACGGCACAATTACTGACCTCCTCTTCCACACTGGCAAATCAGCAGTATTTTTGTTCAGCATGATAGGGAGGGGGTGATGTCTGTGCGTACACAATCATAATATCCAAGTCAAATGCACTTCAGACCTCTCAATTCACATCTAGAGGAATATCAGGCAATAAAATGGTCGCTCAAGTGAGGAAAAAGAAATCACAGGATTCCAAGAACAAAAAGAATTATGCACAAAATTTTGGCAGTTGCTTAGAAAACTGCTTTGGAAGCTGGTGACAACCATTTAATACAACATTATTATATGTCACAAAAAATGTAAATACATGAAGATCACAGACTTCCTCTTATCTAGTTTTCAACTCAGATTCATGATACTCATTGGGGCTCTGTTTTAGTTTTGGGGATTTTACATGCACATAATGAAATGTACATTTAGTAATGGCAACAGAGATCATGAATTCCTGTCATGCACAGGCTCTGAAACACAAACCAAAAACTTCATATTCTCCCACATTTTATACCAATTTAAAAGAGGATGTGGCTGTATGGGTCAATGTTTCTTTCAGGGGGGTTAAAAGACTAATAAATGGTAAAGTCCCCAAGAGACCAGGTTTTGGACATGCAACAACTCAGAAGGAAGGAGCAATGCCCAGTAAAGACATGGCTTGAATCTTAAATTAGGGTGGGGTACCTGAGGTATTTGCATTCTCAAGAATATAAGATGTGTTATTTACTCTTTATATCAAAATCTCCATCTAGAACACCATCCTCTGGGGCTTGAAAAATTTACCAGATTTTAATAGGAGATTGAGGGAGATTTTAAAAGAAAGGAGAGAGGGAAGAATAAAGGGCTGCTGAGGAAGCCAACCTGCTCTTTCCTCAATCCTCACCTTCCCAATTCCAGTTGCTGGGAAATGGAAGGGGACTAAGATTATGCCCAGGGTAAACTGACTTGGTACCTTTTGTCTTGAATTAGAATGTGTGCACTTTGGGATAGGTAGCAGCATGCCATCTGACATGGTTTGCACAGAGTCTAACATAATGAGGCTCCAGTTCCATTTGGGGCCTTAAGGCACAGCCCTAATACAATTATTCTTATTAATTATTAACAATAATAGAGTGCTGTCGATCTCTGAACCTCTGGAGACTGGGTGTCTGGTAAATTTGAAGCTACATCTCCTTCTAGTTGCTGGAAAAGAGAAGAAACTTTCTGTCTCTTGTTCTCTCTCACACCCTCCCTCCTCTGATTGCTGGGAGGTAGGATGGTCTACGCTATTCTATTCCTCTTCTTGCCTCTGTTTTTGAGAGATCCTCCCTCACGAACAGCTCCAAAACCACTTTCCGCTGCTGCTCAGAGCTTCTCAAAACAGCAGAAGCTTGAAGGTGATTTCTGACCATTATAAAAGCTACACACGGTGTTTGCATAGCAACAGTCAAACTGACCAGTTGTGTTCAGTTACACTCTGCTACTGCTTGGCAGATAAGCAGCAACATTTATTAAATATTTGTATTGTGGTAGACCTTAGAGACATCCATTACTGTTCAGGGTTCCATTGTTCAAGGCACCATGCACCCACAAAACAAAGAGAGTAACTGCCTGAAAATGCTTTGAGTCAAAGTACAAGACAAGAGGTAATAGGTGGATAT